ACATTATTAATGTAATTATACAATTATTAAAAAAATTTTTTTTTAAATTCTTTATGATAATTCAATTTAAAAAACATCAAATTATTTTAATAAAATATTTATTTTTTTATTTAAATAATTGAATTCTCGTAAATTTTTGTTATAAATATTGATTTAAAAATGAATTTCAGTTAAAATTTTAAATTATAAATAAATATTAAAATCATATTGTATAGCGTGAATTTTTTAAAATAATTGAATTTTAAAAGGGTTTCAAATTTAAAACTTTGAAATTTTGAATTTTTCACACTTTTAATTAATAAATGTGTAGAATTAATTTTTTTTAAAAAGTTTCATTCATTTTTTTTTTTTAATTATTTGAAGTTTTTCTTTTCTAATATACATTTAATTGAAGAATTTCGGAATAATCGATGAAATTTCGTAAAATTGAATTGTAAACAAAACGATTTGAAAATTCTCAAACAACTTTTTCAAAAATTATTTCAAAAATATTGATTTAAAGAAGAATTGTAGTTAAAAATTCTAGAAATGAATAATTGAATTGAGATGATGAAAATATTTTTTAAAAAAGTTACAGTAACAATATTCTTATAATATAAAATAATTATTTTGTCAAGTTTTATTATAAAACATGAAGAAAGCGATCACTCCGAGTCGAAGAAACATGAAGCTTTCTTCATGTTTTGTTATAATATTCTTATATGTTATTAAATTTGAAATTTTTCAATTGAAGAGAAAATCTATTGTGTCATTTTTTTTTTGTCTGGCAATTCGTCGAAAAACATTGACTGTTCGCAAAAGCGGATCCAAGATGTCGGGAATATTGCGGGGCCTCACTCTTTCTCTTGGGCCCGACTCTCCCACATTCGGTCCCAACCTGACCGCATTCCGCAATTCTCGCAAACCTTTTCCGATTTCGATATCAGCTCCCGAGAGAATACTTTATATTATTTTTTTTCTTTTCTTTTTTTTTTGCTTTTCATTTCGTTATCATATATAAGTCCCCTTTAATTGGTCCTCCTCCTCCTCCTCCCCCTGCAAGTCTCTCACCCAATGTTCATTTTACTTGATTCCGTAATTCCCCACCCAAGGTATATATATATATATGCGGATAAAAATCTCCACTGATTCTCTCGCGAGGGGCAATATAACACCTGCGAATCTTTTTTATCATCTCATTCTCTGATAAACTATCTTAATTAGTCTCGATGTTTATTGTATACCTTCCGCAAAATAATTTGAGAATTATTTTTTACGTATTCCTTTCGCTGAAAAATTTTTTTTATTAAGTATTAACTTTTTTTCACTCGTGTTAATTATTTTCGATCTTATTAATCGATTTTGATAATTATTTTATCTTTTGGATGAAATAATTTTGGGAGAAACTGATTTTCTTATTTTTTTAATTTATTTTTATTTATTATTTTAATTTATTTATTTTTATTTTTGTTATAGTAATAATTTAATATTTTGTTAGAGATTAAATAGTTAAATAAATTTTTATTTTATTTATTTTAATGTTTCATTTGCTTTAATAAATAATTGAAAAAAAGAGAAAAAATTTAATTGAAATATTATTTGTCTATTGCATGGTTGCCACAGGTCAGAAAAATCAGGGAAAATTCAGGGATTTTTATTAAAAGTACTAGGAAAAATTAAATGTTTAGAATTTATAGGAAAATTATTATTATTAATTATTATTAATTATTTTCCTTCAATTATTTTCATAAGTAACAATATTCATCAGAAGAATTCAATTATTTTCAAAATTAATAAAAATTCTTCGCAGAAATTCAATTATTTTCAAAAAATCTAAAAAAAAATTGTCGTCAATATTTCAATTATCTTTATATATGAATAGCAAAATTGTTCGGCAAAATTCAATTACTTTCAGGAACATTTAAAAAAGTTAATTTGTATAATTCAATTATTTTCAAAAAAGTAATAAAATTCAATTATTTTCAAAAATTTTAATAAAATTCATTGCAAAATTTCAATTATTTTCAAATTTAATAAAAATTCTTCGCAGAAATTCAATTATTTTCTAGAAATTTAAGAAAAAATTGTCGTCAACATTTCAATTATCTTTATTAACAAAATTGTTCGGCAAAATTCAATTACTTTCAGAAACTTTTATAAAATTCATTTGTATAATTCAATTATTTTCAAAAAAAGTAATAAAATTCAATTATTTTCAAAAATTTTAATAAAATACATTGCAAAATTCAATTACTTTCAGGAATTTTAATAAAATTCATATGCAAAATTCAATTATTTTCATAAATAATAATATTTGTCACAAGAATTCAATTATTTTCAAATTTAATAAAAATTATTCGCAGAAATTCAATTATTTCCAGAAATTTTAATAAAATTCATTTACAAAATTCAATTATTTTCATAAATAATAATATTCATCACAAGAATTCAATTATTTTCAAAAAAGTAATAAAATTCAATTATTTTCAAAAAATAAATAAAAATTTCACAGGAATTCAATTATTTAAAATAGAATTTGCAATAATTTTTTTTGAAATAATTAAACGTTTTAAAATTTGACATCAAATTCTTCGCAGTAATTTAATTATTTTCATTAATTTTAAAATTTCTTTCGCAGGGATTTAATTATTTTCATAAATAATAAAACACATTGCAGAATTTCAATTATTTTTAATACAATTTTTAATGATTTCCTAGAAAAATGTAATTATTCTTAAAGATTTTATAAAAATGCGTCAAAAGAATTCAATTATTTCAAAAAAAAAATATCATAAATAGCAAAATTCTTAACCAAAATTCAATTATTTTCAAAAAATTTTTTTAAAATTCTTATCAAAATTGCAATTATTTTCAAAAATAATAAAATTCTTCTCCGAAATTCAATTATTTTCAAAAATTTTAATTAAATTCATTGCAAGATTTCAATTATTTTCAATAAAATAATTGAATGGAATTAAGAATTAAATTATTTTTTTTTAAAAAAATAATTCAATTCTTTGCAAGAATTCGATAATTTTGTATACAATTTTAATAATATTTCTCAAATAAATTCAATTATTTTCTAGAAACTTGATAACATTTTTTATAAGAATTCAATTATTCTTAATACAATTATAATTAAATTGATAGAAAGAATTTAATTCTTCATAAGAATTCAATTATTTTCAAAAAATCTAAAAAAAATTTTCATATACATTTCAATTACCTTTATAAATAAATAGCAAAATTTTTTCAACAAAATTCAATTACTTTCCAAAATAATATAAATAATATTTTTAATTCAATTGGAATAAAATTTCTTGAATGAAAAATTATGTATTTTTAAAAATGTTAATAAACTTTTTGGAATGAATTCAATTATTTTCTGAATTTTGTTAAAATTATTTATAAGAATTCAATTATTTCAATGCAATGTTAATAAAATTTCTTGAAAGAATTTAATTATTTTCAAAAATTTTAATAAAATTCATTGCAAAATTTCAATTGTTTTCAAACATTTTTTTGTAATTCAATAATTTGTATATTTATTATTTTAATAAAATTTTCCAAAAGAATTTCAATTATTTACAAACAATTTTGATCAAATTTTAGACGAATGTTCAATTAATTTCTAAAGTAATGAAAATTTCACAGGAATTCAATTATTAAAAATAGAATTTCCATAAATTTTTTCGAAAAAAATCAATTGTCTAAAACTATTTATAAAATTCTTTGCAATATAATTCAATTATTTTTAATAAATTGAATTTAATAATTTTAATTTAATAATTAAAATTTAATAAATTTTAATTTTAATCGAATTCCTCAAAAGGTAATTATTCTTAAAAATTTTATTAACATTCGTCAAAAGAATTTAATTATTTAAAAATTTGTTGATAAAATTATGTTTAAACTCAACTTTTTTTGAAATGTAATTTTTTTTGCGAAACTATTGTTCACTGAAGTAATTAAATAGAAAAAAAAATGTTCTTTCAAAATAAAATTAAGTATTTTCTTTAAAGTAATTGTGTTTGAAAAGTTTTCTCTAAACATAGAAAATTAGTTTTCAGAATGAAAGTAATTTTTGAAATGAAGTTGTTTTTGAAATTGTCTCGTTTGGTTTAGTAAATGAACTGAAATAAATTAACTTTTTGAAATGAAAATATTTTTTAATATTGACATTATTTCTTTAAGTAAAAATATTTTTTGAATAAAACTATTTTGGAAAATATTTTTTTGAACAAAATTATTTTGGAAAATACTTTTTGAACAAAATTATTTTAGAAAATATTTTTTGAACAAAATTATTGTGGAAAATGTTTGTTGAATAAAATTATTGTGGAAAATATTTGTTGAATAAAATTATTTTGAAAAATATTTTTTGAATAAAATTATTGTGTAAAATATTTTTCAAACAATTTAAATAAATTAGAATATAAATTGAATAAAATAAAAATTTTGCAATTAATTTTTGTAATGAATTTTTTTGATTGCAATTGACTTGAAAAATTGGAAATCATTTTTTGAAATAAATTGTTTAAAATGAAATTTGTTTATGAATAAAAGAATATTTTTTTAAATATATTTTCTAATAGTTTATTTGTTATAAAAAAAACTATTGAATATTTTTTTTATATTTTACATTTATAGAGATTATTTTAATTATACTTACTTCTTTTTTTTATTTTCGATAGTAAATATAATTTTATTGTAAATTTTTTTTAACGCATTGAAGGAAAAATGAACAGTGACCGAAACTTTTGTAATTATTGAAAATAGCGCAAAAATTGTCCTTGTGAATATTTTTTCTCTCGACAATTGTCTTTTTTTAAACATATATACCACATTAAAAATTATACTAATAATTAGTATTTTCCTATCTTGAAAAATAATTACATGAAATATCAATTTTTACATTTTCTTCTCGTAATTTTCCGATGAATTGAAGCAGAAATTTGATAACTGATTTTAAGACGTGTTACAAAGCATATAAATATCCATGTCGAACATTTTTTTTCCTATCTATTATTTTTAAGTTTTTCCGAGGAACATTTAAATATGGTCACTCAAACTATCAGGTTCGTAATGCATAGTCTATTTTATTGAAAATATATTTGCAAATAATAATTTTTCATCTAATATACGGAGAATTGATACCTATTAAAAATTTTTCATTTAAGAAAAAAATTTCAGTCAGGTCCTTAAATAAATAATTATTAATTAGTTTCTTTTAGGCTTTATGGAAAAAATATTTTTTTTATCTTTGAAAATTTTTTTTTTCTAAAATAATGATTAGAAGTTCAGTTAGATTGTTGGTAGGAATTGAAGAAAAAATTTATTTCACTCAAATAAACGATTACTTGTCTTTTAGAAAATAAATATGTATTTGCAAAAAATAATATTTAAAAAAAATATTTAAAAAAAATATTTAAAAAAAATATTTTTAAAAAATATTTTAAAAAAATATTTTTAAAAAATATTTAAAAAAAAAATTATTTTACTCAAATAATTTTGATTTGAGTCAAGTCATTTTTATTTAGGTCAAATAATAATTTTTATTTCAGACCATTAGACGGCATTTGATTTAAATAAAAAAAATTATTTGTTCAAATACAATTTATTTGATTTAAATAAAAATTATTTTATTCAAGTAATTATTAATTCTGATGAGTAGAATTTCATCAAATTTTTCAACAATAATTTAATTGTTTCGAAGAATTTTATTAGAAATTTTGAAAATAATTGAATTGCTGCAAAGATTTTTGTTATTCTTACGATAGCAATTAAATTCTTACAATCAATATAATTTACTTAAATAATTATGAATTATTTCAAAGAATTTTATTAAACTTTTTAAAAATAATTAAAATTTTTTTGAATATAATTGAATTATTTCGAAGAATTTTATTGAAATTTTTGAAAATAATCGAATTGGTTTGAAGAATTTTATTAACATTTTTATATTGAAAATCCTGAAAATAATTGAATTCATACGAAGACAATTGTCACTTATGACAAGAATTAAATTTTTGTAACTAATCAAATAAAAAAAATTGTATTATTTTTTAAAATAATTGAATTCTTTCGAAGAAATTTATGAAAATTGTATTCACAGTAATTAAATTCTTTGAAGAATTTCATCAAATTATTATTAAAAAATAATTCAATTATTTTTAAAAAAAAATGTTAAAATTGTATTAAAAAAATTAAATTCTCAAAATTAATCTTATAATTTATGGAAATAATTGAATTCTTTGGAAGAATTTCATTAAAATTTTTGAAAATAATAAAATTTTTGAATTAGATTTTTATTGTTTATGAACATAATTGAATTCTTTTGATAAATTAAATTAAAATTGTATTGAAAGTAATTTATAAAGAATTTGATAAAAATATTTGAAAATAATTGAATTTTTTCCAAAAAATTTATTAAATTTGTATGTTGAAAAAAATTGAATTGTTTCGAAGAATTTTATTAATATTTTTTAAAATAATTTAATTTTTGCAGAGATTTTTACAATTTTTTGAAAATAATAAAATTCTTTTACATAATGTCATAATTTTATGAAAATAGTATTCAAAACAATTGAATTCCTGCTAAGAATTTTTTTATTTATAAAAATAATTTAATTCTTTTTAACAATTACATTTGAATTGCATTGAAAGTAATTTATAAAGAATTTATTAAAAATTTTTGAAAATAAATAAATTTTTTTTTCAGAAAGTTTAGTAAAATTGTATTGAAAGTAATTGAATTCCTGCAAAAAATTTTATTTATTTATGAAAATAATTGAATTTTTGCGAAAAATTGCGTTATTAAAAATAATAAAGACTTTATAATAAAATTATTATTATGCAAATTTAATTACAAAACTTTTTATTTTCAAATATTAATTTTTGAATACTTTCAGATTCAAACTTTAAAAAAATTCAATCATTAACTAATTTACCAATTAATTATTATTGTTTATTAATTTCAAAATTTTTTTAATAAATCCTTCAAAACAATTCAAATATTCTTTTAAAAAGTAAACAATCTTTGCAAAAATTCAATTATTTTCAACAAAAAAAATTCACTAAAGAATTCAATTTTTTTCTTAATTCGTTATAAAAAATTTCAACAGAATTTAATTTTTTTTCTTAACATTTTAATAAATTCTTTGAAAAAATTCAGTTATATTTATAAATAGGAGAATTTTTTGCAAAAATTCAATTTTTCTAATACTATTGTAATAAAATTTCCTGAAAGAATTTTTTTTTTTTTAATTTTTAATAATATTTTTCAAATTTAATTTTTTTCTTAATTTGTTTTAAAATTTTTCGAAAGAATTCAATTATGTATTTTTTTAAATTTTAATAAAATTTAGTAATTAAATGTTTAATTTCAATTATTAACAAACACGATTATTTTAGAAACTTGGAAGAAATTGTTCATAAATTTCAATTATTTTCCAAATTTTTGATTAAAATTATTGAGAAAACTCAATTATTTAAAAAAAAATTCAAAGAAATTCGTCAAAAAAAATTTAATTAGAATTATCAAAAATTTTAACAAAATTCTTCTCGTGAATTCAATTATTTTCCTAAATAATAAAATTCCTCCAAGGAATTCAATTAATAATATCAAATTTTTTAAAAATTCTTTGCAACAATTTGATGATTTTCAATGTATTTAATTTTAAAATTGAAAATATTTAAAAAGAAAAATTATTTAAAAAGCTTTTTAAACAAAAAAGCAAACAACAACTAACTTCAAACTGCGATGGTAATATAACGATTATATTAATATAGATTATTATTATTATTATTATTGTTATTATTATTACAGACGAGTATTTTATTCAAATTATTTTTTAGTTAAGGTTAAGATCTCAAATTTCTCAAATATCTCAAATTAATCTGAATATTAAATTATTAATAAACAAATAAATAAATAAATAAATGAAAAAATAAGAAAAACTCAAAAAATAATTTTTGAGTAAAACGATGATTTTTTTTCCTTCAAATTTAAAAATAAATTGATTGAGAGTAAAATAAACAGAAGAGTCATTCTTCTTCTCCTCCAGATCTTGTTACAACTGCATCGTGACTCCTTTAAATTGAGGATTTTTCAAGATGAGAAAAAATGAATTCATATTGAAAAATGGAAGAAGATTTTTCTTTATTGTATAGTTTTATTTTGTTATTTACTTGATTCGAGTGTTATAATATATTCAAGAATGTGTCTTGAGCACTTGAAGAATCTGTGTGTGGATGGTACTCCTGTAGCATTCTCTGACTTCCTGACCCAGTGGCCTCGACAGTCCCCAAGTCATGGACTAAGTCAAACAATCCTCAGACAAGAAAGGATTCAATTCATGAGGACCTTGTTCCAAATTCCTCACCTTTTGAAATACTCCATTTAAGTCTAATAAATTTCAATTAAAATTCCTTCTTACGTGATTGTAATACCTTTTTTTTTGCTTTAAAAAAAAATACTACCTGTAAGTGATGATGATATTTTTGATTAATATGCATATGAAGTCGAGAAGACTGCTACTATTTTAAAAAAAAAATTACTAGGGAAATACTTTTTGTTATTTTTTTTAATAAAAAAAATAACAAAAAGTATTTCCCTAGTGAGTAGTGCCAGTGTAATTTCTTTACACTTTAAAAAAACTAATGAAAAAACTACTAGGAAAACTACTAGGGAATAAAAAATAAACCAATTTTTTTTTAAAAAGAAACAAAAAGTATTTCCCTAGTGAGTAGTGCCAGTGTAATTTTTTTACACTTTACAAAAAACTAGTGAAAAAACTACTTGGAAAACTACTAGGGAATAAAAAATAAACAAATTTTTTTTTAAAAAAAGAAACAAAAAGTATTTCCCTAGTGAGTAGTGCCAGTGTATTTTTTTTACACTTTACAAAAAACTAGTGAAAAAACTACTTGGAAAACTACTAGGGAATAGAAAGAAACAAATTTTTTTTTAATAAAAAAATAACAAAGTATTTCCCTAATGAGTAGTGCCAGTGTAATTTTTTTACACTTGAAAAAAAACTAGGAAAAAAACTACTAGGAAAACTACTAGGGAATAAAAAATAAACAAATTTTTTCCCTACCGGAAACGAATCTAATACCAATTAAATAGTTTACTCCGATTTATAATTGAATTATAAATTTTGCTCTATGAAAAAACATTTTTTTATAGTTTCTTAAACTCAAAAACTACTAAACTACTAGGGGAGAAGACGCAAAAAATAATTTCTCCCTACTGAAAATGTTATCTTCACTGTTGGTGTTATTTCTTAGCTTTTAGTAGTTTTGTAATAAATTTATAGCCACTGCTCCCGCAGAAAATATTTTTCAATAAAAAAAAACTCAAAAACTACTAGGATACTAGGAGACCAGACATTAAAAATAATGTTTCCTTATAGAAAATATTTGTTTCACTCTTAGTGTTATTTCTTTGCTTTTATTCGCTTTTTCGATAAATTTATAACCTTTGCACTCGCAGAAAATATTTATAAATAGTGTTCTATACTCCAAAACTACTAGACTACTAGGGGACCAGTCGTTAAAAATATTTTCTTCACTATTAGTGGTATTTATCTGCTTTTTTTGCTTTATAAGAAATTTGTAATCCTTCCTCCCTTAGAAAATATTTTTTAGTAGTGTCATACTCTCAAAAACTACTAGGATACTAGGGGCCAGGCATTAAAAATAATTTCTCCCTACAGAAAATTTTTTTTTACGAATAGTGTTATTTCCTGACTCTTATTCGCTTTATTTTTATTTCTGCTTCCGTAGAAATTTTTTTTAAATAGTAGCCTACACTAAAAACCACTAAACTACTAGTGGACCAGATATTAAAAATATTTTTTCCCTAATAAACATTTTTTTACTACTAGTGTTATTTTTTTTATTTTTTTTACTTTTATGCGCTTAATGATAAATTGATTGCCTTTGTTGCTTCAGAAAATATTTTTAAATAGTATCCTAAACTCAAAAACTAGTAGACTACTAGTGGACCAGGCATTAATAGTATTTTCTCTCTATTTTAACAATTTTTTCTGAAAAAAAATTTCAATTTTACTATTGAATTTCTCCTTTTTTTCTGTTTATAATAAATTTATACTCAATGCTCTAATAGAAAATTTTTGCTATACATTTTTTTCTCTTACTAAACTACTAGGAGACCAGGCATTAAAAAAATTTTTATTCCTAGTGAAAATGTTACTTTTTTTATTACAGGCATTTATCTAGTTTACTTCGGTTTTTAATAAATTTATTTGTCTTTGGTTCCTCAAGGAATAATTTTTATTTATTTCTTACATTCAAAAACTACAAAATTACTAGGGGACCAGGCATTACAATTTTTTTTCTATTTTGACAATTTTTTAAAAAAAAAATTTCACTTTTATTTTGAAATTTTTTCTTTTTTTCTATGTATAATAAATTTTTACTCAATAAAACCAGAGAAAATATTTGCTAACTATTTTTTTCCAAAAAAAAACTACAAAACTACTAGGGGACCAGGTATTAAAAAAATTTCTTTTCTAATGTAAACGTTATTTTTTTATTAAAGGCATTTGTTTAGTTTACTTCGGCTTTTAATAAATTTATTGTCCTTTCTTCCACAGAAAATATTTTTTATTAATTTCTTACAATTAAAAACTACAAAACAACTAGGGGACCAGGAATTAAAAATATTTCTTTCCTAGTGAAACTGTTTTTTTTTTATTTGAGGCATTTATCTACTTTACTTCAGCTTTTAATAAATTTATTTGTCTTTGCTTTCAGAGAAAATAATTTTTATTAATTTCTTACGGTGAAAAACTACTAGGGGACCAGGCATTAAAAAATTTTTTTTTCTATTCTGACAATTTTTTCTGAAAAAAATTTCACTTTTATTTTTGAATTTGCCTTAGAAAAAATATTATTATTTGCTAACTTTTTTTTTTCTCAAAAAACTACAAAACTACTAGGGGACCAGGCATTAAAAAATTTTTTTTCTATTCTGACAATTTTTTCTGAAAAAAATTTCACTTTTATTTTTGAATTTGCCTTAGAAAAAATATTTGCTAACTTTTGTTTTCTCAAAAAACTACAAAACTACTGGGGGACCAGGCATTAAATAAATTTATTTTCTAATGGAAACATTTTTTAATTAGAGGCATTTGTCTTGTTTACTTCGGCTTTTAATAAATTTATTTGTCTTTGCTTTCAGAGAAAATAATTTTTATTAATTTCTTACACTGAAAAACTACAAAAACTACTAGGGGACCAGGCATTAAAAAATTTTTTTTCTATTCTGACAATTTTTTCTGAAAAAATTTCACTTTTATTTTTGAATTTTTTCTTTTTTTTCTATTATTAATAAATTTATAATCAATGCTTCCAGAGAAAATATTTGCTAACTATATTTTTTGCTCAAAAAACTACTTGGAGACTAGGCATTAAAAATATTTTTTCCCTATACTAAAAATTTATTTTTTTCATTTTTGGACTTTTTTCCCTTTTTATAATAAATTTTTTCTATATAGGTAACAAAAATTAATTGTTAACCATTTTTTTCTCTCAGAAATTACAAAACTACTAGGGTACCAGGCAAACGAAATATTTTCGCCTTACTGAACGTCGAATTTTTTTTTTCATTTACTCACATTTGACAAGTTTATTTCGCTTTATAAATAATTGAAAGTATTTTTCCTCACACAAAACTTATTAAAATCTAAAAAAAAAATACTAGGTGTCGAAAATTGTAAATAGTTTCCTCTTTTATTGAAAATGAAACTTTTTATACCCGCACTTATGGAGACACAATTTTTTTTTAATCTTAAGAATAATTAAATATTTTATACTAATAATTCACTTCTAATACACAGTTCTTATTTTTTAAGAAAAAATTTTTCTTTTTAAGATAAAATTTTCTATTATAGGAAAATAATTTTTTTTCTCCGAAAAATATGAGACAAAAATAAGAGAAAAAATCTATTAAAACAGAAAATATTTTCTCCAATTGGGAGTGAGTTTAGTAAATAAATGATTCGAAAAAAATGAAACATTCTTAAATAGACGTAACTACAACTTGACAGTTGTTTTAATAGTATGACGTAAGCATAGTTGAGACTGTTATTTTTTCCATGACGTTTCAAAACGTCACGTTGAGGTTTCTCCGAATTTTGACACGAAAAAACATATGTTCATTTAAACAAAAAAAATTAAATCTTAATATTGAATAAATAAATTTTTAATTTTAATGACACGCTTCAAATAACGTTTTTCTTAATTATAACAATTTTTTTTACATTAAAAAATCTTTTATCCAAAAATGCAAAAAAAGAATTATTTACCTTTTTTAGAATTGACTGAAATTTAAATTTACTTTATGCCTTTTTTTTAAATATACAAATTAATTATTATTAAATTAACTTTTTATTAAAAATTAAATTCTGAATAGATCATCAGTCTTTAGTCAATTATTATTGGTTGTTTAAAATTTATATTTTGTTTAACAATGACTGTATATTTTATTTTTCTTGTGCTAATATTTGAAATTAAAAAAAAATTCACTTTAAAAGAAAAAAAGATATTCAATTATTTTATTAAAATTTTGTGTTTAATAGAAAATTATCAGTTCTAAAAAGGAAAATGTGTTTTGATTTCTTTGTGCAATTTAGAAAGAAAAATATTTTACATTTTTTTGTATTTAATTTGCAATATTTAAAAATTGCACTTGTTTTAACATTGTAAAAATTATTCTTGTGAGATTTTTGATTTAAATTTTTCGCTAATTTTCGGAGAAAGATAATAATTTTCATTGTATTATTTTGCAATAATTTTTTGCAAATAATTTTTTTTTTCTTTCTTTTCTTATTTTATGATTAATTTTTTGCGAAAAGAATATGAAAATTGATTTTAAAATCGGACTTTAATGCATATAAATATGGTGTGAAAATTTGTTAGAAACATCAATTTGCTTGATCCGATATAGAATTATAAAAAATTAATATTAAAAATATTAATTTTTTGCTTTTCTATTTCTTATTTATTAGTTTTTTAATTCTTTGATTTTTATTTATTATTTATTAGTTTGTTAATTTTTTGCAGTTTTATTTATTATTTATTTATTATTGTATTATTATTTATTTATTTTATTGTTTACTCAATTATTTTTGTTTTTTTTCAATTTTATGATAATTATAATTATTTATAAAAATTATTATGACTTGTCAAAACAAGAGGTTTGTAGTATTGCTAACTTGCTAAAATTGATAAAATTTATTCTCTGCGCGATAATTTTATATATATACTCTAAATAAATTATGTAATCGATCAATTATTATCTATTTAATTTTATATAAAAAAATGTTAAAAGTGTTTCTATTTTGTAATTTTGTTTCTATTTTTATTTCAGTGGGTGGAAGAAAAATGTTCTGTTGCTGCTTATAAATACAAGTTTGGTATTTACTGCTCCTGGACCAATAAAATTTACAAATAGACAATTGACAGCCAATCCAATCGGAAAATACAAAAATGTAAGAATTTTTTATTTATTAGTTATTATATAATTTATTTTTTAAACCTAGTAAACTTTTTTTACGAAAAATTTTTTGTTACAAATCTTTTATTTTTATAGGGAAAAGAATGAGAGTAAATTAAAATTTTTGATATAGAAAAATCAAAATTAAATCAAAATTTTCATTTTTGGGAAAATGAAATAGAATCAAAATTTTTATTCTAGAAAAAATATAATAGAAAAATATATCTATTTTAAAGAAAATAAAATTAAATTAAAATTTTTCTTCGAAAAACGCAACAAATCAATTTAACATTTTTATTTTAGAGAAAATAAAATAAAATCAAAATATTTATTCCAAAAACGCAAAATCAATTTAAAATTATTTTCATTTTAGAGAAAATAAAATCAAAATTTTAATTTAAAAACTTAAAATCAATTTAAAATTTTCATTTTAGAAAAAAAATCAAAATTTTTATTCTAAAATCGCAAAATTAATTTAAACTTTTCATTTTAGATAAAATAAAATTAATTCAAGATTTTTATTCTAAAAACACAAAAATAATTAAAAATTTTCATTCTAGAGAAAATAAAATTAAAATTTTAATTCTAAAAACGCAAAATCAATTTAAAATTTTCATTTTAGAGAAAATAAAATCAAATTCAAAAATAAAAACCGTTTATTTTTGAAAAAATAAATGAGATATCAAAATTCTTATTTTAGAAAAAATTGAAAATTTTTATTCTAGAATAAATAAAATAAAATAAAAATTTGAATTTTTAGGGTGCAGTTTCAACAGTGGACGGCGAATGCGCAAAAATAGGCGTTCAAATGCTAAAAAAAGGTGGATCAGCAGTTGATGGTGCCATTGCAGTACTTATTTGCGAATGCGTCGTTTCATCTCATGCGTAAATAATTTTTTTAATTTCCTCCCTCCCCCCTCCTAGAAAAAAAGAATTTTTGATTATTCTTATTTTTTCCAACAATTTTTGTTTTCAAGTCGAATTTTTTTTCCATTTAAAAATAAAAATTTTGAGTTGAAAAAAAATAATTTGCAAATTTTACAATTTTTTTTTGTAAAAGAAATCATTATTGTATTTGTTTTTCTGTTTGTAATTTATAGGAGAGAAATTTTTTCCCATTTTTCCCTCATTAGTGTTTAATTTCAATTTATATACCTAAATTTATTAGTTTTCGATAATTTAAAATTACCGAACTAAATTAATAATATAAATAATTTGAAGCATGGGAATGGGAGGAGGTTTTTCGATGACAATTTGGGACGGAAAAAAGAAAGAGGTCCATTCTTTGGATGCCAGGGAAACAGCATCACGACACGCCACTGAAAATATGTTCCAAGGAAATGCTGAATTAGCTGAACTCGGTAATTAATTTTTGTATTTAATTTTCTTCATATTTAAACATTTTTTTGTTTTGTTCTTGAAAATTTATAAAACTAAAAAATAATTTTTGTTAAAAAAAAAAAAAAAAAAAATAGGTGGACTAGCCGTTGCCGTACCGGGTGAAGTGGCAGGATATTGGGAGGCGCATAAGAAATTTGGAAAATTAGATTGGGCAGAACTTTTTAAACCCTCGATTGATTTGTGTGAAAAAGGATTTCGAGTTAATCATTTCTTGGCTTTTGGAATTAATGCTACTCAAAATAAAATAAGAGCCGAGCCATCGATGGCGGAAATATTCATAAATCCAGCAACTAATCAACCTTATCAGGTAAAGTGGGAGAAAAAATTCAAAATTCGTTGCCACAAGTCGGGGAAAAGTTAGGGAAAGTAAAATTTGTTCAGGGAAATCATAAATGTTCAAATGAACGAAATTTACTTTGTTTCTTTCTTAAATTAAATTTTTATTTTATTTTTGCTTCAGTATTAAAAATTAATTTTTAACGATTCTAAGTATAAAATTTAATTATAATTTTCATCAAAAGTACTGGAAAAATATTAAAATTACTAGAATTCATAAGAAAATTTTTTATTTCTGAAAATAATTGAACAATAATTGTAATTTAATTTATTTTAAATAATTGAATTTTTAAATATTATTTTAAAATTAATATTCATAAACTATTTGCGAATAATTTAAAAAGTCCAAAAACAATTGAATTTTAAAAGAGTTGCCTTTACAATTTTCAGAAATAATTGAATTTCAAAATGTTTCGATTTGAAATTTGAGAAAAAATTAATTTTGAACAATTTTAATTAAAAATTCTGTGGAAGTTCAAAAACTAACGTTTTTTGAAAGATTTTATATCAAATTTTCTTGTAATTAGTTGAATTATAAAAAAAACAGTCAAATTTTCGTAAAATTAAATTAAAAGCAGTTTAATTTTAATTTTAAATTTTATTTTAAAAATTTTAGAGGAGTTTTCTTTACAATTTTCATAAATAATTGAATTTCAAATTGGAATTTTAGAAAAATTTAATTTTAAACAATTCAATTTTAGAAGAGTTTTCTTTATAATTTTCATAAATAATTGAATTTTAAAAGGTTTCAAATTGAAATTTTAGAAAAATTAAATTTTAAACAATTCCAATTACAAATTATTGAAAAAGTTAGTTTTTTTTAAAGATTTTATATCAAATTTTCTTGTAATTAGTTGAATTATAAAAAGACATAATCGAATTTTCGTAAAATTAAATTACAAACAATTCAATTTCAGAGGTTTTTTAAGTGAATTTTCTTTTTCATAAATAGGATTGAATTCGCAAAAAACCTTCTGAAAATTATTATTAAAAATAGTAGATTTAGGGAAGAGTTTTTATTACAAATTCGAGAAAATAATTGAATGTTAGAAAGAGTTACAGAATAGAAATTTCTAGAAATAATAATTCAAAAAGGTTTCAAATTAAAATTTTCGAAAATTTAAATTTTGAATAGTTTTTAATTAAAATTTAAGAAGATTTTATTTTTTTAAACATTTTAAAACAAATAAAAAAAAAAAACAAATTAAATATATTTAATTGAAAAATTTGTGAAAAATTGAAATTTCGTAAAATTGAATTGAACTTTATAATTTTTTTTTAATAATTGATTTCTCAGAGAATCATTCTCAGAAATTATTAAAAGTAATTGCATTATAGAAGAATTTTAGTTATTTATTCTAAAAAATTGATTAGAAATCTTGAAAATAATTTTAAAGAAATTAAAGTAGCATTAAATTTTTATTAATTATTGAATTTTAAATGGTTCGAAATTTTTAATATTGTGAATTCTTTCTACTTTTTATTTATTTTCTGTTTTTTCTACTTCTCTATTTTGATTTCTTATTTCTCTTTTCAGTATAAAAGGAATTTTTTTTCTGTAAATTGTAGTCACTTAAAAGTAATGTTTCTTTAATTAAAAGAAAATTTTATTCGCAATTAAAATTAAAGTGTAGTTTTTCGTTGAAGATCATTAATTTTTATAACTGCAATTGAAATTATCTTTCTCGTAATTTTTACTTCTAGTGGTATAATGAATAATTATTTCTTACGAAGTCAATTAAAAAAAGAAGTGTTAACAAGAATTCAAATTTCCTATTTTATAGTCGATAATAAAGAATTAATTTTGAATTAATAAATAATTCAACTGTTTACTTTAAAAACATTTTCAATTTTTTTTTTGTTGAGAAAATAATTTTTTATCCAAGTTTTTGTATTTTTCAAAAATTAATTTTTGTCAACAAATGTCGAAATTTCGATAATCGATAATTTTTATAATTTTGTTGAAGATACAATGTATTTTTTTCGAAGTATTTTGAAAAATAATTTTTAAATTGTAAATATTTTTGAACGTCTATTGAATTTTGAAGGGAGGAACTTGAAATGTTTGTAATTCTGTAAAAAAAATAGAGTTGATCCATTCTTTTGTGTAACAATAAGAGAAAGGAATAGTTACTTTTGAGATGTTCAAATTAAAAGTGATGATTTTTATTATATGTTTACAGTTGGGAGACACAATGAAAAGGCCTGTGTATGGAAAGACCCTTAGACTATTATCAGCCTCAGACGGCAGTGGTGTGAAAGATTTTTATAATGGCGAGATGGCTAAAAATATGGTCAGAGAAATTCAACAAAAAAATGGAATTATCGATCTTAAGGATTTCGAAGATTACAGGTACAATTTTTGTACTACTTTTAAAGTTTTTTTCCTGTAGTAGAGAAATTTTATTTTCTTGTTTTACAATTATTTTATATTTTACAAAACATATTTTACGATTTTGTAAATTACAATCGAACCACCGGCTACCAAAAGAACCTCTGGATGATATTAAATTTTATTTTTTAATGAAAAAAATATCACCCACTACCTAAAATTTTTATTTTTCATTAAAAATTGTTGATATAAAAATAAAAGATAATAATAATAATTAAATATAAATAAGAATGAAAAAAATAGGAAAAAAAACAGAAATTAATTTTTAAAGAAAAAAAAACGGTATTTCACTTGCCAGCGGTTTAATTATTCTATATTGTTGGTCTTTTTCTTTAAATTTAAAAAGACAAAAAAAAATAGAATTCATATTTTCTTTTTCCGTATTTTTCTAATTTTTAATAATTTAAAGCAATGTTAACGATAAAAATAAATTAATTAACGAAAATTGAAATCTTGATCTAGAATTTTATGGAGAGCTCCAATAAAAACAAAACTCAGAAATGGAATGACTGTCTATTCGTCGCCACTTCCTGGATCCGGATCAATTTTGGCATTCATACTGAATGTACTCGACGGATTTGTCTTCGAGCAAGGTGAAACTATTGGCTATCAAAGAATATTGGAAACTTTCAAGTGGGCCTACTCTTTCCGAACTAAAATGGGCGATCCTGCTTTTGTCCCTGAAGCCAGTGAGTTCTTTTTTTTTTAACAAACAATATTTCAATTCTTATTTGCTTTTTTTATTTAAAAAAAAATTATTTTTCTTTTCTTCTTCTTCTTTTGATAAAAAAAGTTAAGGGGAGGTTCTCATTGCGGGAATCAAAAAAATTTATTTCTTTTTTATTGTATTTTTTGAAAGCTATATATATGTAGAATATGTGTGTATAGCGATTTTTTGATCCGAAGAATATTTTCGTTCTTATGGAGTCTTGAACTCACCGGCGTCCCGAGCACTGAATAACAAATGTCAGGCAAATCGAATCGATTTTTAAAAATTTTGCAAATCTGACCTCAGAATCGTAAAGAGTGACCCTAAATACCTATAGATATTTATCAAATACGCAAATTGAACAAAGAATTGGAAAGAATTTAATTATTGCACAAAAATGTTTCTCAAACTTTAAACGCGTTTTTCTCGAAACAAGATTTTTCAAACTGGTGGGCATCGTAGCGTCTAAACTATTTAGTCAATCAACTTCGGGTTTGCGGCTAATTAAAGGTAACTAAATTCTACTGGGGTTATACCTATAATATGGTAAAATTGTTAACAATAGAGATTTTTACAAGAGGTCAAATATAGAAAAATAATGCAAAAACGCAGTTTTTTTAAAAATGTGTCCGCCATTTTGTCATTTTGTTAACTTTTTAACTATTTTATAGGTATAACCTATTCTTTAGGATGTCATCTTTATAAAAAATTTTGAGTTTTTGTTTTAGACTAAAAATTGCGCAGTGTAGAATGCCCACCGTTTTCCATATTTAAAAAAACATTATTTTCTAGATGCGCCATATTGGCCGCCATTTTGCATTTTTTTAAAAATGAAATATATGTTTTGAAAGTTCAAGAATGTATCTTTATTTAGAAAAAAGAACTACATCGCTAAGTCATAGCCGCTCTTTGCAAAAAATTGTCAAAGTTTGTGTTTATTTTGGCCTTTGCAATGAGAACCTCCCCTTAAGAATTTTTCATTTTGATCAAAATTAATCTAGGTATTGAAGTTAGTTGCTGTTTCCTATTTTGTTTCCTAACTTTTTAAATCATTTTTCTTTTTAAATATTTTCAATTTCCATTAAGTTTTTAAAATAATCGTGTTTCTTAATAATTGAATTTAATTTAACATTTAATATTATTGAATTTTATTAAAATTTTAGAAAATAATTGAATTCTTTTGAAAAATTCTATAACGAATTGAGAAAAAAATTGAGTTTTTTTTTTAAAATAATTGAATTCTTAGGAAGAATGTTACTATTTATAATTATACAATTGAATTGTTTTGAAGCATTTATTAAAATTTTCGGAAATAATTGAATTTTTTCTAGAAATAATATTAAAAATTAAAAGATTAATTTTCTTTTAATTTTTAATATTATTTCTAGAAAAAATTCAATTATTTCCGAAAATTTTAATAAATGCTTCAAAACAATTCAATTGTATAATTATAAATAGAATTTAATATTCTTTCATCATGAAATTTTATAAAATTGTATTAAAAATAATTGGATTTTTGTTAAGAATTTTACTATTTATTAATATAATTGAATTTTTTCGAAGAATTTATTAAAATTTTAGAAAATAATTGAATTCTATTAAAATTTTTTATAACGAATTAAGAAAATAATTGAATTTTTGCAAAAAATTGTACTGTTTAAAAATATACTTGAATTTTTTCGAAGAATTTATAAAAATTTTAGAAAATAATTGAATTCTATTGAAATTTTTTTATAACGAATTGAAAAAAAAATTCAATTTTTTCCTGACATTTTTTTGAAAGTAATTAAATTTTTGCAAATATTTTACTATTTAAAAAAATATTTTAATTATGTTTTTAATTTTACATTTAATTATTGCAAACAGTAATTAATGGAAATAATTTTAATAAACATTTTTCATTCATTTGAACTTTCAGAACTTGAGGATCATTAATAATCGTTGTACCCCGGACTTCTCTTCGAAGTTTGAAGTTAATTGTTTTTGATAATTACTTTTTTGTTTGATAATTTTCAAGATAAATTTTTCTTCTTAAATATTTAAAAAGTTAAAATTAATAAAATTCTAATTTAATTTTTCTTAAAGATTTTTTTTTTTAAATAATTCAATTCTGTCGATCAATATTATTAAAAATTTTAAGAATAATTTAATTTTTTCTAGAAGTTTTACTAAAATTTTTTTGAAAATAATTAAAATTTTTGTGATAAATTTTATTTCTGAAAACAATTGAATTCTTGCATAGAATTTTATTAAAATTTTCGGAAATATTTCACTGAATTGTTAAGAACAATTTTATAAAAATTTTGTTAAATAATTAAATTTTTTCGAAGGTATTATTTAAAAATTTATTGAAAGTAATTGAATTCTTATAAAGATTTTTGTGAATATTTTTGTAAGAATTGAATTCTTGAAAAGAATTTTGTGAATATTTTTGTAAGAATTTAATTCTTGAGAAGAATTTTATTTAAAAATAAATATATTTATTTTTCAAACTCTTAAACAATTGATTTTTTTAAGAAATGTTATTAAAATTGTATTTAAAATGCAATTAATAATAATTTTAATTCCTGTGATATTAAAAATAATTAAATTCTTTTGAAGAATTTAACTAAAATTTTATTGAAAATAATTGAATTCTAATATAGAATTTTATCAAAATTTTCAAAAATATTAATTGAATTATTTCACAGAATTTTATTATATTTATGAAAATAATTTAATTCTTGCATAAAATTTTATTAAAAATTTTTACAATATATTCGAATTATTTCGAAAAATTTTATTAAAATCTTTGAGAATAACTAAATTCTTGAGAAAAAGATATTAAATTTTTTTTAAATAATTGAATTGTTTATAGAAGTTTTATTGAAAATATTGAACTTTTAAAATGAATCTTATGAATTTTGAAAATAATCGAAAATAATTGAATTCCTGCGAAGAATTTTGTTATTTATGAAAATAATTAAATTCGTATGACTAATCTTATAATTTATGAAAATAATTCAATTGTTTCAAGAAATTTGACTTAAATTTATGAAAATAATTTAAATGTTTCGAAGAATTTTATTAAAATAAAGAATAATTAAAATTAAAAAAATATTCACTCAATTTCGAAGAAAATTACAATAACGAAAAATTTCCTTTTTTAAAGAGAATAATAATATTTAGTAAAAAAAATGCTAAAACGAAGAAATTTTTCAGATGAATTATCAGCGAATCTCACTAACAAGCAATATGCAGAATCCATTCGCCGTTTAATCAGTGACACTAAGACCAGTAATGATCCGGATTATTATTTAGGAAATACTGAAGGTACTGTAGATCATGGAACTTATCATGGATGTGTTTATGCTCCCGATGGCTCAGCCGTTTCTGTAACGTCCACTGTTAATGGATTGTGAGTATTTATTTATTTATTCACTTGAAATTACAAATCATTAAATAATCAATATTAAGCAGGTGGAAAATAAATAAATAAATAGAGAAAAAATAAAGAAAATTAAATTCATCTGGTAAAATAAATATTCTATAATAAAATTATAATACATGAAACTGTAATATATAAAAATATAATATAAAAATACAATTAATATAATTTAATACAATTTAATAAAAATTTAATTTATAATTTCAAATATAATTTCATTGCAAAGCATAAATCCTAAAAAAAAATATAACAAAAGTTTATTATTCTATAATTATCGAAATTTAATTAATGTACAATTAGCATTAGTAATATGTTTCTTTTTCTTTATTTACTAATTTAATTTTTTATTTTAGTCCTTATAAATAAAAAAAATATATAAAAAAACTATTGAAGTTTAATTTTCTTCTGCATTTTAAGAATATGTGACTCTTGTCGATTTTTTGAATATTTTCTTTTTCAATAATCCGATAATTTATTCGAATTTCAGATTTGGAGCATTCTTTCGTTCGGAATCAACTGGAATTATCTTTAATAATGAAATGGACGATTTTTCAGCTCCAAATATCACTAATATCTTTGGTGTTCGTCCTTCTCCGGCGAATTACATACGACCGGGAAAGAGACCACTTAGTTCAACGGCACCAACGATTATGGTACTAAACAAGTTCTTTATTGTTTTTATCCGTTCTTTTTAAATTCAACATTCTCTTTTTTATCAAAATTATCAAATTTTTAATTTTTAAATTTTTTCTCAATATTTTTTTATCAACTTGATAATTTTGTTTAAATATTTATTTCAATATTAAAAAGGTATTCGCTAATCGTAAAATAATAAATTAATTTCTGGAGGTAGAAATATCAGATAAAATTTTTGTTTCTAATATTTAGATTTAATATTTATTTTTAAAATTTTATATTTTTGTAAATTTAAAAATAATTTTAATTTTATAAATGATGTATTTATAACTAATTTATAAATATTTTTAACTGAAATTAAATAATAAGTTAATAATGTTAATAGTAATAACAATAAAGGTCAATTCTTTCTATTTATAGATTAAAATACAATGTTTTGCTTTTTGTAGATTGATGAGAATAATCAAGTTCGATTATTGGTTGGAGGTGTTGGTGGTATAAAAATTACCACTGGGGTGGCACTTACATCAGCATTACATTTGTGGGCAGGATATAGCATTAAAGAGGCTATAGACGCCAACAGAATGCATCATCAGGTAAATTTATTGATTATCAATTAACTTCTCCACTGTTCAAAGAAAAAATAAATATTAAATTCATTTCAAATTAAATATTAATTTTAATAGAAAATAGAAAATGACAAATTTTGTACATAATATAAAAATACATTATAATTAATACGAAATAAGTATTATTAATTTAAATATTTTTTTAAATTAAATTTTAGTAAATATTAATAATTAAATAAAAAGATATTTATTAATATAATTATTATTTATTAATATATTTATTAATATGAAAAGGAATATAAAGAAAATTAAATAGAAGAGAATTTATTACTTTAATGCAATATATTTTTGGATTATTAAAAAAATGAAAAATTGTTTTATTTTCAGTTCTTGCCAATGTCGGTTCAAATTGAAAATAATTTTCCACTGCCAATAAAGAAATATTTATCCAACGTTGGACACAATATCACCGATTTTGCAGGATATCCGAATTTAATTTTTGGCATATCACAGAAAAATGGTGAAATTTCGGCGTATTCAGATTACCGTCAAGATTGTCGCAATGCCGGTTATTGAAAATCGACAAACGGGGATATTTTTTCAACGATAAGGTAAAAATAAAATTTTGGAAAAATGTTATGCATGCTGCATGCGAAATTAGATAATTTTTAAAAATTAGAAAATATTCAGATAATATTTATTTATGTAAATGGGTAAATGGACTACAAATTTGCCCTTTTGTACACAAAATACTAAACGGATTTCTCTATTACGGGAAATTGAGAGTGTGATCTAATCAAATATTAGTTAGATATTAAATTAATTAAAGGAAATAGTAAATTAATTGAAAAAAAGAATATTTATTTAAAATAAATAAAGAATTCGTGTAATGAAAATATTATTTCTTCTTTTACTTCTTCTCTTCTGAATTTTTGTTGTGTTCTTATGATTCAACTGAAGAATGAAAATATTGATTTGAAAAGTTTAGAAAAAATATAGTCAAAAAATGGAAAAATATACCGCGAAGTTCTTTTCGTAAAAAATAATTTTTCTTTACTTAGAAAAAAGAAATAAAAACACTTCAAGTAAATGAAGGATTTAAATTACAATTAAAAACTGAAATTAAAATTGAAAAATTAAATTAAAACTAAAAATTCAATTTCAAATCAAAATTACAAATTAAAATTGAATTTGAAATAAAAAAATTGAGATTAATATTAAAAAATTATATTAAGAATTGAAATTGAATTTGAAATTGAAAACTCAAATTCAATGCAAATTTAAATGAAAAATTAAAACGAAAGTTAAGAATTCAAAGACAAAATTCAAATTCAAATGAAAAACCCAAATTTAAAATTAAAATTCAAATTCAAATTGAGTTTGAATTAAAAAATTCCAAACTTAATTCAAATTTAAATAGAAAATTGAAGTTGAAATGAAAAACTTTAATTTAATATTAAAAAATTAAATTCAGAATTTAAATTAAATATTCAAATTAAAAATTAAGACGAAAATTAAAAAATTAAGTTTGAATTAGAATTTGAAAACTCAAATCGTAATTCAAATTTAAATTTAAATTAAATTAAATTTAAATTAAAAAATCAATTTCAAATTCAAGATAAAAATTGGAACTGAATTTGAAATGAAAATTAAAAATTTCTATTCAATTTGAAATTAAAAACTCAACTTCAATGCAAATTCAAATTAAAAATGGAAACGAAAGTTAAAAATTCAAAATTGTAATTAAAATTAAAAACCTAAATTTAAAATAAAAATAAAAATTGAATTTGAATTAAAAAATTCCAATCCCAATTCAAAATAAAATTATAATAATTGAAATTGAATCTAAAAATTTCAAATTCAATATTAAAAGTAAATTAAAGTCAATTAAATTCAGAATTCAAATTAAACATTCAAATTAAAAATTCAAACGAAAATTAAAAATTCCCATTTAATTGAAATTATATGTAAATTGAAAATTTAAATTCAAATTTTTATTCATATATTAAAGATTGAAATTGAATTTAAACATTCAAATTCAATGCAAATTCAAATTAAAAATTGAAACAAAAGTTAAAAATTCCAAAACAAAATTGGAATTAAAATGAAAAACCAAAATTTTAAATAAAAATTAAAATTGTAATTGAATTTGAATTAAAAAAATTTCAAACCTAATTCAAATTTGAATAGAAAATTTAAGCTGAAGGAAAAATTTTAACTCAATTAAAAAATTAAAAATTTGAAAGTAAATTAAAATTAATTTAATTCAGAATTTAATTTAAAAATTGAGACAGAAATTATAAAAATCCCCATTGAATTGATATAACAAAATTTCCAATTCCTATTCATACTAAAAATTAAATTTGGATTTGAATTTAAGATCTCAAATCCTAATTCAAATCTAAATTAAAAATTTTAATTAAAATTAAAAATTCAATTTCAAATTCAAGATAAAAATTGAAATTGAATTTGAAATAAAAATTAAAAATTTCCATTGAATTTGAAATTAGAAACTCAAATTTAATACAAATTCAAATTAAAAATTGAAACGAAAATTAAAAGTTCGAAAACAAAATTGAAATTAAAATTAGAAACCCAACTTTAAAAGAAAAATTAAAAATCCAAATTTAAAATAAAAATAGAAATTGAATGTGAATTAAGACATTTTAATCCCAATTAAAATTAAAATTATAATAATTGAAATTGAAAATCAATTAAATACAGAATTCAAATTAAACATTAAAATTAAAAATTGAAACGAAGATTAAAAATCCCCATTGAATTGAAATTAAAAATTTTAATTCCAATTCTTATTCATATTAAAAATTGAATTTTAATACTCAAATTCAAATTCCAATTTAAATTAAAAATTGAAATGAAAATTAAAAATTTCTATTGAATTTGAAATTAAAATTGAAAATTTAAATCCAAACTTTTATTCATATTAAGAATTGAATTTGAAATTAAAAACTAATATTAAAATCGAAAATTCAATTCCAAATTCAAATTTTGTTTAATTTAATTTGAAATGAAAAATTCAAATTTAATTTTCGTTCAAGATAAAAATTGAAATTGAAATTGCTATTAAAAATTCAGGTCCAAATTCTAATTCTAATTCAAAATTAAATTGAATTTGAAATTAAGAATTTAAATTAAAAATTCAAATTCAATTTTCAATTCCAAAATTTAAATTGAAATTTAAAATTAATATGAAAATTTAAAGTTCAAATCCAAATTCGAAATTGAATTTGAAATTAAAATTAAAAATTAATGTTGTATTTTCAAATTAAATTAAAATTGAAGATTAATTTTAAAACTAAGATAACAAAATGTGTGGGAAATTTCAAAGAATAAAATTCCAATTTAATTTGGAACAAGAGAAGAACTTGGAAAATGTACCCGCGCGATATCAATGAGAAAAAAGAAGAAAAGTGAAATTATAGTTATTTTTGAAAACTGTGAAGAAAATAGTTTCCGTTTGGGGTTGTTTTTTCTTCAAAGTCATGGTTTTAGAGTCGTTGTTAAGTCGTAAAAAAAATGGAGTTTAACGAACTGTGTCTCCAGATAACAACACTGACATCCGTTAGACTTTAGAGCACAACACAAATGCAGAGGAAGAGTAGTAGTAGAAGAAGAAGAAGAAGGAGAAGGAGAAGAAGGAGAAAATGGAGAAAAAGAAGAAATCATTATGCTTTCGTGGCACGAATTGCACACGAATGTACTTATAATGCATTTATGCGATCACGTAAATGTACGAATGTACCGGATGTTCCGCGCCTGATTTACCTGGCCTACACCTGGCAGCAGCCCCCTGATAAACAAGGATTATCGATTCACTATATACTAAGTTACCTTTGTGGGCTTTAAATTTAGCCTTTAACTAACGTCAAAGGCACGTTTCGATGCGTACACTAATTTTTTTTTTCCTTCATTTTTATTTTATTAAAATAAAAGAAGATAAAAAGAAAAATACTTAAATATTCTAGAAAATTTCCATTTCATATTTATACACCGCAATTTATGTTGTAAAAATAAAAAATGCAGGTGACATTTATTTCTTGTTTTAATATTTAAATATACATCGGGTTTTAAATTTCCTTTTCTATTTTTTGTTAAAATTAATTTTCTTCTTCAGAAAATATTTAACATTTCTTTTTGATTTAAATTCTAAATTTAATAAAAATATAATTTTTGTATAGTTAAAAAAGAAATGGAATAAAATACATAATAAAGAAATTAACGAATGAAAAGTAAAAATTAATTTCAATTTTTTTTTTTTTTATCAAATTCTACAAATAATTTTTAAAATCACTCTTTTATTAAAATTAAAAGTTTGAAATTAGAATTAAAAAATTTTGAAACCTAATTGAAAAGAAATAAAATAAGAGAAATAATTTTGTCGAAATTAATGAATAGAAAATACAGTAAAAATCAATTTTCGAGATATTTTATCAAACGAATAATTTAAAAAACTATTTTATTGAAATTAAAACATTGATTTAATGGAATTAAAAAATTTTTTAAATTTAAAAATAGAAGATAAAGAAATTCGTGAGTAAAAATAATTAAACTAAAAATAAATTTCGAGATATTTTGGAAATAAATTTATTCGCATCTGATTAATGACAACGAGATGGTATTTTTTTTTTAAATTAAAATGAAGGAAATTTTCAAGAACACAAATCGTAAGGTCTATGTAAGGAAAAAACAAACTGAATGTTGAGCAATTTCAGTTGGTTTATGATTTATGTTCATAAATAACATTAAAGCAAACTTGCCACCGTGGTATGCTGATGATAAGGTTTTTTGTGTGATAGTGAACAAGTCACAGGATGAAGACTCATTAGCGTGGATAAGAATAATTTTTTAAAAATTAAATTATACATCTCCTCGAATTATTTTCGTCTCATTTTTTTTTTAACTAATTTTTTATTTTCAAATATAAATTAAATAATAATTTCATAATCAAAATTTTAAAAACTTACTTATTAAGTACAAAATTAATTATTATTGTTTATATTTTCAAAAATTTTAATATAATTCTTCGCAAGAATTCAATTATTTTCAATTTTCATAAATAATAACATTATTCTTCAGAAGAATTCAATTATTTTTATAAATATAGTAAAATTTTTTTGCAAAATTTCAATTATTTTTACATTTTATTAAAATTTCACGAAAGAATTTAATTTTTTTCTTAATTCGTTATAAAAATTTTTCAAAAGAATTCAATTATTTTCTAAAATTTAAATAAATTCTTTAAAATAATTCAATTATTTTTATGAATAGTAAAACTCTGCAGGAATTCAATTATTTTCAAAACAATTTTAATTGAATTCCTCGGCAGAATTTAAATATTTAAAAATATTTCCATAAAATTTAATTATTTCTTAAAAAATTCTTTGAAACAATTGAACTATTTTTATAAGTACTAAAATTCTTTGCAGGAATTAAATTATTTTTAATTAAATTTCTCGAATTTCTCGAAGGAATTTAATTATTTTTAAATATTTCTATAAAATTCTCAAAAAAAAATTCAATTTTTTCTAAAATTTTAATAAATTCTTTGATCATTTCAATTCTTTTTATAAATATATACTAAAATTCTTTGCAGAAATTCAATTCTTTTGGAAACAATTTTAATAGAATTCCTCAAAAGAATTTAATTATTTTCAAATATTTACATAAAATGAATTTATTTCCTAAAATTTTAATAAATTCTTTGGAACAATTCAATTATTTTTATAAATAGTAAAATTCTTTGCAAGAATTAAATTATTTTTATAAATAATAAAATTCTTCTCAGGAATTCAATTATTTTCAATACAATTTTAATAAATTCTTTTCATAAAATTCAATTATTTTCAAAATTTTCGATTAAAATTATTAAAGAAACTCAATTATTTTAAAACAATTCAAAGAAATTCTTCAAAAGAATTTATTTAGGATTTTTAAAAGTTTTAATAAAATTCGTCGCGAGAATTCAATTATTTTCATAAATAAAAAAAATTCTTCGAAGGAATTCAATTATTCTCTTGAAATTTTTTTATAACATTCTTTGCGAGAATTCAATGATTTTTAATACATTAATTTTAAAATTGAAAATATTTAAAAAGAAAAATTAAAAAAAAAATTTTTAATATAAATATTTTTTAATCAAATTATTTTTGAATTAAAATATTTTATAGTAAAAATATTTAAAAATCAAAATATTTCATAATAACAATATTTTCTAATGAAAATATTTCATAGTAACAACATTTTCTAATAAAAATATTCCATAGTAACATTATTATCTAATCAAAATATTCCATAGTGACAATATTTCATAATAAAAAGATTTTATAATATAAATATATTTTATCAGATAAATATTTTATATTAAAATATTTCACAATGAAAATATTTTCTAACAATATTTTATAAAAATTATTATTTTAATTTTTTATTTATTTCGAGAGGAAATTAAAAATTCGAATTTGTTAAATAAAAAAGTTCGACAAATTATCGAAAATGACATTTCCAAAATTATGGAAACTTGGATTCTTTTCTTTTTTTTTAATTCAGAAAACTATAAGGGAATATAAAAAATTGTTTTTTTTTATCGTAATTTACTTTCAAGATTCACCTGCCACCCTACAATTGCGATACAATCTTCCAGAGCGGGAGAATCTTTCACGGATGTATGTAATTAAGATCATGGTGTAATTTTAGCGCCAATTTATCAGAACTTGGCGTAAATTGGTTCAGTTAATAACAAATCATTACTAAAAGGGGGGAAAATTAATCTAATTTTAGCTTGAAAAGAGCGAAAGTACATTTATCAATTTCGTGACTAATTATTTCTATAATTTCTAATTATTCATGATCTATCGCATGAAATTATAGACTTTTGTGAATGATTGAGAAATTAACGTTGAAAAACTCGGGAAAAAAAAATGTTTACTAAATTTATCGAGGAAAGAAAATTTGTTAATTCTATGTAATTTAATTTCTTCGATAATTTTCGTGTATTTTCCAATTTTTTGTTAATCTTTCTTTTTGTTATTGAAAATTTACCAGTTTTCAATTTTCCAATTTGACAATTTGCCAATTTTTCAATTTGACAATTATACTTTTAATTTAAATTAAGAAAATTTGGATCTTTTTTTATTCAGTCAAGATAATTAAACTCAAATCGTTTACCTTGACTTGATTGTTGAGATGAACATTATTTTCCTCGCTGGAATCAACATAAAATACTGATTTTTTATCTTTTTGTAGCCACATTTTTAAATAGAGGTGATTTAACACTTATTTACACCTCTCACACTGTTGTCTTCACTCTTTCACTTTTACACTTTTATTTTTCCTTTATTTCACTATTTGATTTTTGTAAATTTTTTTTTTGTTTTTAAATTTCAAAAATAGAAAAAAATATTAGGGATGAAAATAGTTTTTTAAAATAAGATTTGTATTGTAGTAATGATGGTGAATGAATGGGGATTTGTTGTCAATTTACTTTTGTAAGATTACGTGCTTTGGTGAGAATATTTTGAAAGGGTAATTTTTTCTTTTTTGTAAAAAGCAGCTTCTTTTTGAATGAGATCGTGTCAACTTTGGAATGTTCATTGTATGAATGTCCTGTGAAAACTGAAAAGGAAAAAGAAGTCGCCTTCAGTTGCTTCCTCACGCAATGAACACCCCACTTCTATTGTTATTCTCCCTTCTTTTACCTCCTTTGGCTTCTTCAATTCTAGTTATTTTCAAAACAGTGATTTAGTACCCCTATACCTTTCTCATATACTTGACCTGAAAAGATTTCCAAATGTCATTATTATTATTACACAAATTATTTATAAATCACCCACATTTTTATTGCACATCCTTTTCTTCCAGTTTTTTTATAATCCTAGAGCAATAAAGTTATTTAAAAAATAGTAAATAGAAAAATAGAAAATCTTCTTTAAATATTTTTCCCTATTTTTTCCTTTTTTGTTCTTTTTTCCTATTTTTTTGTTTTCTTAAACATTTTTTTTCCTGGGAAATTATTATTTGTTAATTAATAATGTAATTTAACTAATGAAATAAAAAACAAAAGAAAAAAATAATTTTTGTGTGGAGAAAAAAAAAAAACTTTTAACACTTATTGCTATTTATTTAAAAATATATATAAAATCTTCCAATACTTATCGTTTCGGATTGTAAAATTTTTAACAATTTTTGTACAAAACGTAAATGCCATTGATTTAATTATTTATATATTACAATTTTTATTTTTTTCGGAACAGTCTTATTGTTCAGACTTCCATTTCAGTAAAAGTTCGGCTGCTTTCTTCAAGTTTTCATCTTTCTGCAAAAAAGAATTTAGAATTAAAAGAGGCGAAAAAATTTAAAAAATCAAAAATAGAGGCAAATTAATAAATAGCAAAATTAAATTTTTTTTATAGTAAAATTAAACAAAATAAAGAAAATAAAAAAAAAATAAACAAAATTAAGGCGAATAAATTGATTAAGAAAAATTGAAGAGAACGAACGAAAAAAGTTAATTACAAAATAGGGAGTAAAATATATTTTCTTTTTAGAATTAAAAAGAACAAATGAAAGAAAATACAAAATGAATTACAAAATAAGGAGTAAAATAAAATAACTTTCTCAGAATTAAAAAAAAGAATGAAAGAAAGAAATAGGAAATAAATTGCAAAATAGGGAGTAAAACATTTTCTTTCACACCGGAAAAAAAAGAGATAAAAGTTTTTTCTGTTTTACCTTAATAAAACAATATCTGACGCAGTCTTCTCCTAAATGTTTGTGCTCATCGCCGTAAAAAGCCGATGGAGGGATTCCTTGGACTCCGACATTTTTTATCATCCATTTAGTGAAACGATAATCTCTATTTGCATCTTGTTCCTCGTCGAGTCGAACTTTATTTTCCAATGCCGACCAATTAGCAACCATAAAATAACCGCCCTCTGGTATTGTTGGTGACATTCCAACTTCAGTGAGAAATTTCGCCATGTAATCACGTTTTGGTAATAATTCTTTGGCAAGACTCACAAAATAACAATCGTCTTGGCCAAATCGTGCGATTTCTTCCTCAAATCCAATTGCCACAGCTTCCTATCAATCAAGTTTTGTTCTTTTTTTTATAAATTTATCAATTACGAAATTTTTTTTAATTTTTAAATTAATATTTAATATTTTTAGTCTTTAAATTAATATTTAATATTTTTAGTCTTTAAATTAATACTTAATATTTTTAATCTTTAAATTAATAGATATTTAATATTAATATGTGAAATTATTTTTTGTAATATAAATATTTTTAAAAATATTAATTAAATTCGATTATTTTCAAAAATTTTAATATAAATTCAATTATTTTCAAAAAATTTGGATGAAAAATTTTATTAAAAAATTATTATATTCAAAATATTTAGAAAAATTTCTTTAAAAAATTCAACTATTTTTAAAAATTCAGATAAAATACTTCGAAACAATTCAATTATTTTTATAAATTGTAAAATTATTGACAAGAATTCAATTATTTTTATAAATAATAAAATTCTTTTGAAAAATTAAATTATTTTCAATACAATTTTAATGAAATTTCTGGGAAGAATTCAATTATGTTCAAGATAATTTTAATAAAATTTCTCTAACAGGTTCAATTAATTTTTAAAAATTGTAATAAAATTTTTCTAAACATTTCAATTGTTTTCAAAAGTTTTTAATAAAATTCTTCGTAAATTTCAATTATTTTCAAAATTTCCAATTGAAATTACTTTAAAAAATTACATTATTTTTACGAAATTTAATGAAATTCTTAAAAAAAAATGTAAGTATTTACAAAAACTCAAATAAAATTGTTTAAAAGAATTTAATTTTCTATGAATAGTTTTAATATAATTTAATAAGAAAATCGTTAATTACAATTAATAATAACTTGAAAGAAATTCTTCTTAAAATTCAATTATTTTCAAAATTTTCGGTAAAATTTTTTTAAAAAGAACTCTTTTACTTCCAAGAAAATTGAAATAAATTCTTCAAAAGAATTCAATATTACTTTAAAGAATTTTAATAAAAAATCTTTCCTAGAATTAAACTAATTTCTATACAATAATTTTAATTACATTTTCCCGAAAGAATTATATTATTGAAAAAAATGTTGATAAACTTTTTATTGAAATGAATTCAATTATTTTCAAATTTTTTTATAAGTACTTTACAAGAATTGAATAATTTTCGAATTTCGACAATTTAATAATTTCTGAAAATATTTGAATTCTTGAATAGAATTTTATTAAAACTTTTTTAAATAATTGAATCCCTGCAAAAAATTTATTATTTCTACAAATAATTGAAGTTTTGCAAAAATTTAAAAAATAAGTGAATTTTTGAGAAGAATTTTATTAAAACTGTATGTAAAATAATTAAATACTTGTGGAAAATTTACTATATTTTTGTTTTCTTAACTAATTACGAAAATTAATATGTATTTGTTGTTTCTCAAAAAATTACGAATATTTATTTCGTAATTAATTAATTAATGAAAATTGATTCAATTAATGTTTTAAAAGTTCAATTGAAATTCAATAATTAAAAATATATTTTATTAATAACGATATTTGTATAGAAAAATTGATACGCACTTGAATAGGAGTTGTGCAAGTGTAAATGGAATTTTGATGAACAATTTGTAAATTACGGAGTAAATTTGCTGGACCGTAAGCCCATCCAATTTTCCATCCAGTTACACTGAAGGTTTTTCCTGCAGAGCCAATTGTAATTGTACGCTCGTACATTCCCGGTAAAGTCGCTAAAAAAATTTATTTAAATACAATAGAGAAAATAATTATTATTTCTATATTATTGTTATTATTATTATTATTAATATTTTTATCGTCAACTATTAATTATCCATTTATTTTATGAATATTATGAATATTACCAATGCGAATATGCTGATAGGGTTCATAAACAATCCATTCATAAACTTCGTCCGAAATAACGAGAGTATTCCATTTTTTTGCTAAATCAGCGATAAATTGCAATTCATCGAGTGTAAAAACTTTTCCGACTGGATTGTGAGGTGTGTTAATTATAATTCCTTTCGTTTTCTCATTAAAAAGACTTTCCATTTCTTTTCTATCGAATACCCAATCTGACGAACTAATTGTTCCACTCGTTTTATTCTGTAAAATTTCAAAACAAATTTGTTTTTCTCATTCAGTATATAAAAAGGGAAACAAAAAAAAGTGATCTCTTTAAACCATTAACTAAAGAAATTAAATGAAAAGTAAATTTATAAAAACGAAATAAATGAAAAAACGAAATAAAAATAAATACCTAAGTAAATTCGAGAATCGAAATAAAAATCAATAAATAAATTTAAATAGAGAAATAAAAATCAAAAAGTAAAACAAAATAAATATCAATAGGTAAATTAGAGAACCAAATAAAAATCAATAAGTAAATTAAAAAGGAGAAATAAAAATCAATAAATAAATTTAATAAGAAAAATAAGAAACGAAATACTAATCGGTAAATTTAAAAAATAAAATAAAAATCAATAAACGAATTAGAAAACAAAATAAAAATCAGTAGGTAAATAAATTAAGAAACGAAATACAAAACAATAGGTAAATAAATTAAAAAAGCGAAATAAAAATCAACGGAGTAAATAAATTAAAGAACGAAATAAAAATCAATAAATAAATTTTGAAAAGTAGATAAACATATGGAAAATTGAATATTAAGATGTAAAAAAATATGAAGAAAACAATATATTTTATAAAATATAAAAAAAAACTTAATAAAAAAATAGTGATTTTTCTTCGGAAATATTTTGTGAAATCTTTGAGAACTCACTGGTTGAAGGGCTATGAAACGGGGAACACCACCCGATGTTCGCACCATTGGAACGTAACAATCAAAAAAGGGTTCGATAATTATCCATTCGTCTCCAGGATTTGTATGTCCCACGATTGTTGCGTACAATGCCTCATAGGCACCAGACGTGATTAGAATTTCATTATTTGGATTCAAATCACGTTTTAAAATTTTCGAATACAATTTCGCAACCGCATTGACCAAACGTGGATGGCCCTGGAATAATACACAGAAACTATATTCATGACAAATGTCAACAATCAATTAAATTAGGTAAAATCGTGAAAAAAATTAAATTGGGAAAATTAAAAATTAAATTAAAAAAGAAAAAAAATTAGGACAAAAATAATTAATTTTGTCCTTGTATTTTCTTTTCTTCTAATTTTTTTTTGTTCACTACAGTTATTAAATTTGTGAATTAATAATATTGTCTAATAATTGACGAATGCTAAACAAAATTTTATTAACAAACTATAGAAAAATAATAAAACGAATACGTTTAGACAAGTTTTTTTTTATTTAATTTTAATAAAAATTTTAATTTGCTCCAAAACCTTTTGAAATCAAATTGATTTCTTCAATTTCAGAAATATTAAAATGAAGAAAAAACAATTAAAGAATTGTGTTTTTTGTAAATGAAAGAATAAAATAAATACAATTAAAACAATAAATACATTAAAATAATTAATTTACTTATTTTAATCTTTCACGGACTTTAAATAAATTAATAATTTAAAATCAATAAATTTAAAATAAAAATTGAATTCTTCTAATGCATTTTATCAAAATTTTTGAAAATAGGTTTGAATTCTTACAAGAAATTTTTTTTTTCAAAAAAATGGAATTTTTTCAAAGAGTTTTATTTTAGAAAATTGAATTCTTTTAAGGAATCTTATTAAAACTAGCAAATGTTACGCACAACAGTGCGTGAAACGTATATAGCATTTTATTTATTATTACTATGAAAATAACAAATTTTTAATTTTTAAATATTAATTTAAATTTTAAAATATTTTCAGATTCAAAATTTCAAAAAAATTCAATTATGAACTAATTTACTAATTAGTTATAATTATTTATTTTTTCCAAAAACTGTAATAAAATTCTTCACGCAGGAATTCATTTAATTTGAATACAATTTCAATAAAATTTCTCAAAAGAGAATTCAATTATTTTGATAACTTTTGATTAATTTATTCTTTATGAGAATTAAAATATTTTTCAATACAATTTTAATAAATCTTTTAGCAAGATTTCAATTATTTTCATAATTGATCAAATTCTTCTCAGGAATTCATTTATTTTTAATATAATTTCAATCAAATTTCTCAAAAGAGAATTCAATTATTTTGATAAGTTTTGATTAATTTATTCTTTATGAGAATTAAAATATTTTTCAATACAATTTTAATAAAATTCTTAGAAAAATTTCATTTATTTTCATAATTAATCAAAATTCTTTGCAGGATTTTAATTTATTTTAAATAATTTTAATAAAATTCTTCTCAGAAATTCAATTATACTTTGAAAAATCTTGATAAAATTATTTCTAAATATTTTAATTAAATTTTTCACAAAGAGATTTAATTATTTTGAAAAATTTGAATAAGTAAATTTCTTTCTAAGAATTCAACTATTTCAGATTCAAAATTATGAAAAAAATAATATTAAATAAATATTTTCAATTGAAAACAATTTGGTTTATTTAATTTTTTGGTATTTTTTAATCTTCAAATCATTAAAAATTAAGATTTCATTAATTTAAAAATGAAAAATCTTATAAAAAAAAAATTAGGAAACAAAAAGGAAACGAAAACAACTAAATTTAAACTTGTGAACAAATTACGGGAATAATAATTTATGAAAATAATTTAATTCTTACCAAGAAATTTATTTAAATTTTTGAAAATAATTTGTTTCGAAAAAAATTTAAATTCTTCCGAAGAATTTAGTTAAAATTGAATTCTTATAAAGAATTATAACAAAATATTTTAAAATAATTGAATTAGAATGCTTTAAAAGAATTTTATGTTTTAAAATAATTAAATTTTTTCTAGAAATTTTATTAATTTTTTTTAAATAATTGAATTCCATCAAGAAATTTTACTGAGAAAAGAATTAAAGTCCTCCAGAGAATTTTATTATTTATGAAAATAATTGAATTCTTGACAAGAAATTTATTAAATTTTTTGAAAATAATTTGTTTCGGAGAAAATAAACATTTTTCCGAAGAATTTAGTTAAAATTGAATTCTTATAAAGAATTATAACAAAATATTTAAAAATAATTGAATTCTTTCAAAGAATTTTATTTTTTTAAATAATTAAATTTTTTCAAGGAATTTTATTAAAAATTTTAAAAATAATTGAATTCCATGAAGAAATTTTATTGAAAATAATTGAAATCCTCCGGATAATTTTGTTATTTATGAAAATAATTGATTTCTTGCCAAGAAATTAATTTAATTTTTTGATAATAATTTGTTTTGATTGAGAAAAATTGAATTCTTATAAAGAATTGTACCAAAATTTTTTTAAAATAATTGAATTCTTTCGTCGAATTTTAATCAGAAATCATTCAAAAATTGAGGCTAATATTTGAAAATAAAATTTTAAATTTGCATAATAATAATAATAATAATAATAATAATAATAATAATAATAATAATAATAATAAAAATATTAAATTAAATAAAATCATTCGCTATTAATAATAATAATTAATAAATTATTATTTTCAATGTTATTATCCCCTATTATTACTTGAGAAAAATTCACAAACGTTTAAAAATTTAAAATCAACGATTTAGAAGTTAAAAAAAATCTTTTTCTCTGCAATTTTTTAGACAACTTCTCTTAGAAAATAAGCAAAAATTTTCCTGAGCAACTATTTTTTTCAAACAAAATTGTAAATAGAAAAATATTTTTTTCTGGGTGAAAAATATAATTTTGTTCTTCTATCGTTAATTATAAGCGTTGTAAACATTAGTAAACATAATTAGGAAATGCTCACAAATCCTCTAGTGTATTGATTTAATAGAGGATTATCTCCCGTTGTTACGGCTGCTAAAGCTTTTGTCACATTTTCAGGAGCATAAAAATCGGGAAAACCTTGACCAAGATTCAATGGTTTATATTGCAAAGCCAATTGAATGTATTCCACCCTAAAAAAGAAATTCATTTTTTATTTTCTTGAAAAAATGCAAACTTATAATATTTATTTATCATAATATTATATTTTACATAATTCTCTTTTTAACAAAAAGAAATTGCAAAATACAAAATAAACAAATTTCGAAAGTTTTATTTAATTTCTGTGTTTGTTTTCGTGAATTTATTGATTCATTGACAATTGTGACAATAATCAATTGTTAATAAACAAAAAAACGAAAGTCACTTACCAAACAGATTTATCGTTTCCCTTGTAACGTTCAGGTAAATCAAATTTAGTAGCCATTGTTGAATAATTAATTGTTTTCTCAATTGAAGGAAGAAATAATGAACAGACACTTGTTGATGATGACCTCAAGAGAGAAAATCTGCTTAACATCTAAGGGAAATATTTTTATTGAATGATATTTAAGGCCTAATTGTGGTTTTAGAAAACGAAAACATGATGAAAAATATTGAAGGTATTACAAATATTTTCTCTAGTTATTAAGTTATTAATTGAGAGATTAAGACTATTTTTAATGTGGTTTTAACGTAAATATGATATAGATGATAAAAAGAGAGGTTAGGAATTTACTTTTGGCTCATTGTGTAAATTACGCAACGTTAACTGTGAAAACATAGATAACGGAAAATAAATAATAGTGATAAACTTTGAGGAAATTAAAAACCGCGATAAATTAAAAAAAAATAATTTTAATACCTTGTTTATGAAATGATTTCCCTATTCCGAAAATGGTTGAGAATGATTTTTTTATTCTGAATAACACTAACGAAATGATAAATATTTAATTTAGCCAATTTACATGTTTTGGAGAGAGGAATTTAAGTTAAAAAAAACATCAGAATGATACTTACATAATTCCAGGCGAATATTTAATTAATTATGTTTAGTGGCGCGAAAAATATAACGTTCTAGGAGTTTAATAACAAACTCTTGAGTTTTAAGAAAACAAAAAATTAATTCACTATAACTTTTTAAAATTATCGAAAGTTACCTGAATAGTCCAATGACTAATTTAGAAATGAGAGTAGGACTTGAAAACAATTAGAAAATATGTACTGAAATGTTGAAAGCTTTGAAAGCTGAAATGAAATCCAAAAAGACAACAGAAATCAGCTGACTGGACATTTAAAATCTGTTTTATTACAAGTTGATATTGTAGGTTTTTCCTATTTATACCGACTGGTAGGTAAGTTTTAAGTTGGTCACATTGCGTGCATCGTTAAGTTGGTAGTTGGTACACTTGTTAGTCAGGTTCGTGCAGGTTTATTTTTCTTGTTTTTTTCACCTGTTTAAAACATTTTTAAAATAGTGGTGTTTCTACAAAAAGGTAATTTGTTTATTGTAATTAATTCTTATTATATCGTTAATTATACTTTCGCTTATTTTTTATTATATTTTCATTGTGAGTATAGTGAATATATACCCAGACTGTTGAATACAAAACACCGACTAATTTTTAGGTTAGGTTGCATTATTTTTCTCTTGAAATGTTTAGAAGAAATCAAAAAAGTAATTTTAAAAATCACTTTGTTTCTAGTCATGGGATAAAAAGAAATTCTTGTTTTTAAACGTCTTGATTCAATTTATTAAGTGTATTATGTAAATTATAACAAATTGATAAGAAGAGTTTAAATTTTGATTTTACGAATATACAATAACTGCAAATGTACAAATACAATAGCTTTTTTGAATAGAATATAATTTTGTTATTTACAGGTAGAGTATATTATCAGGAAATTGTGTAAAAAGTCTCGGGTGTAAAAAATGGGTCACGGAAAATGCATTGTCACAGGATGTACATCGAGTCACTATAAAGAAAAGACTAAAGAGAAGAGTAGAAAATTAGAAGTGGATCCAAAAAAGAAGACACACTTTTTTTCTATTCCAAAAGTTGGTTTAGAATTGTGGAAAAATGCCCTTTCAGGGAATAAAATTGCCGTTAAGCCTGGACAGTCGGTTTGTGATAAGCATTTTTCGAAAAAAGATTTACGCTGGAGAAAAGTATTGAAAGGACCAAATGGCATGATTCTTGGAGTGGTAATTTCAATTTAGTCAATTTTTTATCTTCAAGTTTTATTATTTAACTAGAAAATGATACGCGCAGAACGCATTATTCTATTTATTATTTTCTAAATTAAAAAAATTTATATTTTCAAAAATAAACATCAATTATTTTTAAATGATTACAGATTCAAAATTTAAAGAATTCACGTATTAAGTACATAATATTAAATATTCTTGTTTATTATTATTCACAAATTTTAATATAATTTTTTGTCAAGAATTTCATTTTTCTCGTAAATAATATTTTTTTAAAGCAATTTAATTATTTTTAATACAATCTTAATTAAACTTTTCGAAAAAATACAATTATTTTTCAAAATATTAATTAAACTCGATTATTTTCAAGAATTTTAATATAAATTCAATTATTTTCAACAATTTTGATGAAAATTTTTTTAAAAAATAATTATTTTCAAAATATTTAGTAAAATTTCTTCAAAAAATTCAACTATTTTTAAAAATTCAGATAAAATCCTTCGATACAATTCAATTATTTTTAAGAATTGTAAAATCTTCCGCAAGAATTAAATTATTTCCATAAATAAGGAAATTTTTCGCAAGAATTAAAATATTTTCATAAATAATACAATTTTTCGCAAGAATTAAAATATTTTCATAAATAATAAAATGTTTCGGAAGAATTCAATTATTTTTAATATAATTTTAATTAAATTTCTAGAAAAAAATTAAATTATATTTAAGTTTTTTTAATAAAATTTCTCTAACAGGTACAATTTATTTTTAAAAATTGTAATAAAATTTTTCTTATCAATTCAATTGTTCTCCAAGGTTTTCAATAAAATTTTTTGTAAATTTCTATTATTTTAAAAATTTTCAATTAAAATTACTTTAAAAAATTACATTATTTTTACTAAATTTAATGAAACTCTTAAAAAAAATTGTAATTATTTATAAAAAATCTAATAATTTTAATATAATTTAATAGAAAAATCGTTAATTACAATTAACAATAAACACGATTATTTTAAAAACTTAAAAGAATGTTTTCATAAAATTTTTTATTTACCAAATAATATAAAATAAAATAATAAAATTCAATTACTTTCAAAATTTTCAGTAAAAATTATTTTTAAAAAACTCATTTATTTCCAAGAGAATTTAAATAAATTCTTCAAAAGAAATCAATTATTTTAAAGAATTTTTATAAAAATCTTGCATGAATTAAATTATTTTCAAATTTTTTTACAAATATCTACTTTACAAGAATTTAATAATTTTCAGTACATCGACAATTTAATCATTTCTAAAAATAATTTAATTCTTGAATAGAATTTTATTAAAACTTTTTTAAATTATTTGAAAAATTATTTTTTTGCGAAAAAATTTATTATTTTTAATTAATTTTTCTAGAAAAATTTTATTAAAATTATATTTAAAATAATTGAATTCCTAGGAAAAATTTACTATTTATTGATATAATTCTAATTGATTTGAATAATTATTAATTGAATACCTTAATTCTAATTGAATTCTTACGAAGAAATTTAAAGAAATGTTTAAAAATAATTTAATTCTCCCTGGAATTTAATTAAAATTGTATTGAAAATATGTAAAATTCTTATAAGAATTTTATTGATTTATATAAAAATAATTTAATTTTTTACGAAGATTTATATTATTTACATAAATTGACTTTTGCAAAGAATTTTATTACATCTATTAAAAATAATTGAATTCTTGATAAAATTTAATTACTTTCAAAATTTTCGGTAAAAATTATTTTTAAAAAACTCCCTTATTTCTAAGAGAATTGAAATAAATTCTTCAAAACAATTTAATTATCTTAAAGAATTTTAATAAAAATCTTGCCAACAATTAAATTATTTTTAATACAATTTTAATTACATTTTCTCGAAAGATTTTAATTATTGAAAAAAATGTTGATAAAATTCTTGAAATAAATTCAATTTGCATAATAAAAATAATAATAATAAATTAATTGCATTTATTATTATTAAGCAAGTTACAAAATTTTTATTTTCAAACATAAATTTTTGAATAATTTAAAAATCAAAAATTTAAAAAATTTACTTATTAACTACATAATTAATTATTGTTGTTCATATTTTCAGCAATTAGTTTCAATTAAATTTCACATAAAAATTAAATTTTATTAATTTTTTAATTATTTGCAAAAATTCAATTTTTAATAATATTTTTCGAAAAGATTCAATTATTTTCTAAAATTTTAAGAATTCAATTATTTTTTAATTTTTAATAATATTTTTCGAAAAAATTCAATTACTTTTAAAATTTCCAATTAAAATTATTGAAGAAACACCATTATTTTAAAAAAAATTCAAACAAATTCTTCAGAATAATTTAATTAGGATTTTTATAAATTTGTTCGCAAAAATTCAATTATTTTCGTAAATAGTAAAATTCTTTGAAGGAATTCAATTATTCTCAAATTTTTTGATAAAATTCTTTGCTAGAATTCAATCACTTTCAATAGATTCATTTGAAAACTGAAAATAAAAAGAATCATTATTACCGGAATACAACGTTTATTAATATGGATTACCCTTTTATTTTAGAGTGCCGATTTCAAAATGCCGAAATTAAAGGAAGGAGCAGTGCCATCGAGACGTCTAGCGAATAATCCAGACGAAGAATCTGAATCGGATTTATCAATTTCAGATGAAGATTTATTAAGGAAGGAATCAGTTGACACTGAAAGTAACGTCGAGGATATTTTTCAGAATTTCGAAGAAATCGAACATTTCGAAGCTTATTATCATTTAGCAGCCGAAGCCAAATTGAAAATACCAAAATCAACCGAGGAAATTTCTCTATTCGACATTATTAACGGAAATGAAAAAAGCGTCGCCCTCCCTCCAGTTTGGACGCGACAAAATCTCATGTACAATGGTGAAAAAATGGTCGTCTTCAATCAATTCGTTCCAAAAATGGAAAACGGAATAATCCAACCGTGCTGCTCAAAGCAACTCCTCCTCGACAAAAATTTACAAACAACAATTTTCATCACACGTCAAAAGCTAAACAAGGAAAACAGTGAGATTAAAGACATCGACATAAACAGTATCGATGATCTTGAATATTTACTGAAAATCGTTCACTCATGGCGTATTTGCGCTGGATTAAAAATTCAGTCCAACGATACAAAAGAATTTTCATTTATTCACGTTGATAAGGAGGGTGTTGTTCGCAGTTTGGAATGTTCACTCTATATACCGTCATTGTCACGCAGTGGAAGTTGTGATTATTGTCGTAAATCGAAAAAAACTGTTGCACAAAAATTGGCGCGTATGGAAAAAAGTCCAAGTTTAACGCGTTTACGTTTATGTTTGACGGGTAAGCAAAAAAAGAAATTGGACGAAATGAGGCGGGAAATTAAAACATTGAGACGCGGTAGAGCGAGATCATTGGTGAGAATTAAATTGTTGAAGGAATTAAGAGTACGTGAACGTGAGGAATATTTACGTTGTCAAAAGACATTGGATCAAATGTTAATGGCGAGTAGTCTTGATGCGAATCAAAAATTAGTCACTAAGGAAATGTTGGCGTCGACAAAACAACCGCCACGTGGGAGACGTTATTCGAAAATATGGATTTCGTTTTGTTTGACATTGCATCGGAAATCGCCGTCTGTGTATAAATTTTTGAAACTTAATAATGTTTTACCGTTACCAGCAACTCAAACTCTCAGCAGGTATTTATTTTTAATTTTACATCTATTTTTTGAATATTTAATATTTTTCTTTTAGATATTTAGTAATTTCTTCGAAAATTTTGGACGAAAAAACACTTTATTAGTTAAAGATTTGAAAATAGTTGTTTCTTCACAAAAGCAGGCAAATAATCTACTCGAAAAAATTACTAAGGAACAGATCAGGGAAATATCAGAAAATTCTATAAAAAATACTGGAAAAATATTAAATTTTTAGAATTATTGACAAAAAAAAATTCTAGATTTCGGTGTCTAACAGTCTTTAAAAAGATTTAATTCTTCTTGAATTTTTTCTATTTATGTATTTGATTTTTTAATTTTTTATTTCTATTAATTTGACTTTATTTATTTCAAATAAGCTAATTCTTCAAGAGCAATTAAAATTATTACTTATAAATTATTTAGTAACTAATTTTATTTAAAAATTCAAAAAATAATTTTAGTAGATTTGCGTTTACAATTTTTATAATTAAATAAATTTTAAAAGGTTTCAAATTAGGAATTTTAGGAAATTTGAATTCAATAATTTTAATAACTCAACTTGAATATTTAATAATTTTACTTAAAAATTCCAAAATTAATTTAATTTTACAAGTGTTGCGATTACAATTTTTATAAAAAACTAAATTTTAAAATATTTTAAATTGATGTTTTAGAAAATTTAAATTAGCATTTAATAATTATACTTAAAAATTCATAAGTTAATTTAATTTTAGAAGGGGTTGCGTTTATAAATTTTTAATAACTAACTGAATTTTAAAATATATAAAATTAATGTTTTAGAAAATTTGAATTCAATAATTTTAATAATTTTACTTAAAAATTCAGAAATTAATTTAATATTACAAGAGTTGCGTTAACAATTTTTATAAATATTTGAAATTTAAAAGGTTTCAAATTAAAATTTGTAGAAAATTTTAATTCAATAATTTTAATAACTCATCTACTTGAATATTTAATAATTTTACTTAAAAATTCCAAAATTAATTTAATTTTACAAGAGTTGCGATTACAATGCTTATAAATAACTGAATTTTAAAATATTTTAAATTGATGTTTTAGAAAATTTGAATTCAATAATTTTAATAATTTTACTTGAATATTTAAAAATTTTACTTAAAAATTCAGAAATTTATTTAATATAACGAGTGTTGTGTTTAAAATTTCGATAAATTTAGAATTTAAAAAGATTTCAAATTAAAGTTGTTGAATATTTTTTACTGAACAATTTTTATAATTTGACATGAATATTTAATAATTTTAATTAGAAAATTAAAAAATTAGTTAATTTTACAAGAGTTGCGTTTACAATTTTTAGAAACATTTGAATTTCAAAAAATTTCAAACTAAAGTTTTAGAAAATTTGAATTCAATAATTTTTATAATTTTACATGAATATTTAATAACTTTTCTTAAGGATTCAAAAAATAATTAAATTTTAGTAAAGTTACGTTAACAATTTTAATAAATCATTTAATTTCAGAAGGTTTCAAATTGAAGTTTTAAAAAATTAGAATTCAAGAATTTAATAACTTTTCTTGAATATTCAATAATTTTACTTAAAAATTTCAAAATTAATTTAATTTTACAAGATTAGCGTTTATAAATTTTTAATAACTAACTGAATTTTTAAATATTTTAAATAGATGTTTTAGAAAATTGGAAATCAATAATTTTAATAATTTATTACTTACATATATTTAATAATTTTAGTGAAAATTTAGAAAAATTATTTAATATTACAAGTGTTTTTGTTTACAATTTTTAAAAGTTTTGAATTTAAAAAGGTTTCAAATTAAAGTTTTAGAAAATTTGAATTCAAAAATTTTAATAATTTTACTTGAATATTTAATAATTTTAATTGAAGATTCAAAAAATAATTTAATTTTAGTAAAGTTACGTTAACAATTTTAATAAATAATTGAATTCCAGAATGTTTCAAATTAAAGTTTTAGAAAATTTTAATTAAAAAATTTTAATTTAACTTTTATTGAATATTTAATAATTTTGCTTAAAGTTGAGATTTCTTTCAATAGAATCTGTAAAAGTAAAAGTTGGACAACAATTTTTCTTCGAGAAGATGAAATAACAACGTTATAAACACTTTTTTTGTTTTCTTGAAATATTCTTGGCCAATTTTTAAACTCTACATATGTGACGCTCCACGAGAAAAGGGACCTTATGACAAGAGTAAATAAGGTCTTTTTTCTCGTGGAGCGTCACATATAATTTATTGAAAAAAGTCTCAGTTTTCTAATCAAAATTTTAAAAAATTGAAAAAAGTGGTAAGTTTTGTAAAAATTAAAAAAGAAAATTTAATTTTTAAGAAAGAGGAGTTGAATAATTTTTTTTTTTAAGAAAACGTTTTTAAAATTGAAAAGTACACAAAAAATTCTGCAAAATATAAAATTCAGAAAATTGCAGAAAATTCTAAAAGTTAAAATCTTTCAAGTTTTGTCGAAATTAACACAGATTTTGAAATATTTGAATTTAACAATTTCACTTAAAACGTCATACAAACTGGCAATCCCCATAATTCACATAATATATTTTTAAACAAAATAAATACGATTTTATTACTTTTATATGGAACAACAATTTACGAGAATTTCAAGCCAATCCCAGAAAATAAAATTTTTCACTTTATTGTTTCACGTGGAATTGCTTTTTTTTCTTTTTTAAAGAATTTTCACTCCTACCTGCTAATCATTGAAATCAAAACTTTAATACTTTTTTTCACAGTAATCATAAATTTGTGAATCACAGAATTTTTCCTTACTTTATCAATATATGAATTTTATTACGAAATTTAATTTTATCAATCAAATTAATCTAAATCTTATCAGTTTTTAATCTATTCATGTTTCACTCGATCGAAATTTTTAATTATTTAATTATTAAAACTTTAATTATTGATGCAAAACTTCAATAAATTTAAATTGCAATACAATGAAAATAAAATCAATATAATAAGTAATAAAATAAAAATTTGTTTCACAATAAAAAAAGAAAATTGTAACCAATTATCGAAAAAGAGTAATAAAAATTGTAGTAAAAGTTAAATACTAAAAAATTAGAAAATTAAAACTATAATTAAAATTTTCTTTTGTTAGGGAGCGTTATATAATTATTTTAGAGGTAATTTTAAATTTTAAATTCAGAATTTCTCAAAAGTTAAATATTATTTAGATTTTCCTAGGAAATTGCTTGAAATACTTTTTTTAATTATAAAAATGTTCATTATTTAATAAAATTTTTATTTTTAAGGTTCGCCCAACAACATCCGACAGTGGATCAAGAAATTTCTTTACTTGAAGCTAAGGAAATGGAAATGGATACAGAAGACATTGCGGAAGTCGTCTACGAAAACGAGATTGTCCCCTCAGAAGAGTAAGATTTTCTTTTTGAAGAAAATAAATTAAAATAAATTTTATTTTTAATGAACTTTTTTTATTTTATTTTTATTTCTAATTAACGATTTAATTTGATATTTTAATTTAGTAATTTAGTTATTTTTTTCTTTTACTTTCTTTCAATAAGTCCTGACAATTTCCACACTTCACTTAGTTTATTTACTATTAGTAATATTTTAATAATTTATTATTAGTCTTCATTGATTTATTTTCTGTATTGATAAAATTGTTTTACACGCATTTTATTTTCAATTTGTATTTTATTGCAGATTACCTGACATCGAAATGGAGACTGAAATAATTTAATTGACACATTAATTCCCGAATGAAGTTCAAAATGTTCGGGTGAAGAAAATTATCGGGTAAGTCGATAAAATATATTTTCATTACATATTGAAATAAAAATTCATTTTTTCAAATAAAATTTAATCGATACGATCAATTTTCAGATGGAATGATTCCTCTAAAATTTTATCAAAAAATTTACGAAAATAGGACGTTTAAAGTTAAACTATTTCTACACGTCTCTAAGTGTTTTGTTCGCCTATTTTCTTTTCTTTACTTTTTCGTATTTTGTGTTTAATTCCCGAAGAAATTCGTAAATATAGTTTAATTTTGATAAATAAATGTTTCGTAAAAATGAAAATGTTAAGACAAAAAAGGAAAAAAAAACATTTAATTTTTTCAGCTTACTTTGTAGGGAAATATTTTTATTTTATAGAAAAGTTAACTAGTCTGTTAGGATAATTACAATTGACACTATAAATTGTTTTTGTCACGCGATAAAAAATCGATTGATAAAAGAAATACTTTTTAGTTTGAAAATATTTAAAAAGAATACATTTAATTTTTCTTTTTGAAAAATTTATTTTTTTTAATTGAAAAATTGAATAGTTTCTCTATCTACACGTGTCTTTTTTGTTCTATATTTATTGGAAAAAAAAGTTTATAGAATCTATTTTTTTATTACATTATTTAGATTTCAACTCTCGTGAATTTAAAACTTTTTTACAGATTACAATTAAATTTGAAAGTTTCTGTAAATTTGCAGATTTCATAGAAATATAAAACTATTTTTTCTAAAATACTGTATATATAATTTAAACCACTTTATTTTTAAGACTGAATTTATTATGATTCTTGGGTGACTGTTTTTTTTCTCTCTTTTTTTTTTGTTAACAAACAACGGGAAATATAAAAGTTTCCTAGAAACCGTTCGAATTGAAGTTAGGAGGCACCAGTGTGTGCTTTTTTTTCCACTGACGATGTATTGCATGGTCAATAAATATTCACGTGTCCCTTTGTGCGCACCTTGATAGATAGAAAAACCACACAGGACTCATGCAAAAGCAGGCAGTTGATTATTCTCACCCTTCCTGCTAGTTTGACCCGCATGGAGGGAAAACGTGTGGAAAAAAAGTTCACTTTGTATTGAGCCGCTTAAATAGATCTAAAAACAAGTTGGTGAGTTGACATTTTCTGTTTTTCTATATTTTCCTTTTTCAATATTACTAGAAATTTTAATTGTAAAAGTTATCAAGTAATCTGTTAAAAATTTGTTATGTTTCAAATTATAAACGATTTTTATTTGTTTTGTAATTTCTGGAAAATTCGTCTCTTTATATAATATTTTACCGGCAAGGTTGCCACGCAACCTGGAAAACCTGGAAATATCAGGGAATTTTATAAACCTTGAAAAAACCTCGAAAAGTCAGGGAATTTTGATCGAAATCCTGAAAAATTGTTGTTTCCTAAAGTTATTGTGTTTATTCTTGAAAACTAATTTTTCAATATATATTTAATTAATTATTAAAAATAATGGATTTATAGAAGAATTTTAGTTAAAAACAATAAAAAAAGTTGAACTTTGAAGAAGTTACAAATAATTGCAGAAATTCAATTATTTTCAAAAATTTTAATAAAATTTTTCGCAATAATTCAATTTTTTTCATAATAATAAAATTGTTCGCAGGAATTCAATTATTTTCAAAAATTTTAATAAAAACTTTTGCAAAAAATGAATTTCTTCTATACACAATGGAATTTTTCACTGGAATTCAATTATTTTTCTAAAATTTTTATAAAATTCTTCTCAATAATTCAATGATTTTCATAAATACAGTAAAATAATTTAAATTCTTGGAAAATTTTAGTTGTATTCAAAAATTTTTCTCAATTCAATTATTAAAAAAAAAGTTTAAGTAAAATTCTACACAAAATTTTAATTATTTTCAATACATTTTTAATTAAATTTATTCAAAGAATTAAATTATTTTCAAGAATTTTAATAAAATTCTTTGTAACAATTCAATTTTTTTCAAAAAAATTTAATAAAATACCAGACAGACATTCAATTATTCTCAAAAATTTTAATAGAATTCTTTGTAAAATTTAATTATTTTTAAAAACTTTTCGCAATTCAATGATTTTCAATATCTACTATTTTCATAAAATTTCCAAACAGAATTCAATTATTAAAAATTTTTTTTAAAAATCTTCGTAAGAATTCAATTATTTAAATTAGAATTTGCATAAATCAGTTGAAAAAAATCAATAATTACATATTTAAAATTTTTATAAAATTCTTCGCAAAAATTAAATTGAGTTAATCTCAAAAATTCAATTATTTCTAAAATTGTCTGTAAAATTTATTTTAGAAATTCAATTATTTCCAAAATTTTTAAGATATTTCTTGTAAAATAGTAAATTCTATTCTATAAAAATTAGAAAATGATACAATTTGTTTCTAAAAATTTTATTATGTTAATTTTTTAATATAATAAATTCTTGAAAAATTAAATTTTTTTTATATAATTTCAAAACTAATTTTTCAGAACTTTAAATACAATTTATTTAAAGAATTGAACTAAATTCAAAAATTTTTATTAAATTCTTTGCAAAATTTCAATAATTTTCATAAATAATAACATTCTTCGGAAAATAAAAATAAATAAAAATAAATTCTTGGAAACAATTCAATTATTTTTATAAATATAGTAAAGTTCTTTGCAAAAATTCAATTATTTTTATAAATATCTTAGTACAAAAGAATTTAATTAGGATTTTGAAAAATTTTAATAAAATTCTTCGCGAGAATTCAATTATTTTCATAAAGAATGTTAATGTAAAATTCTTCGTAGAAATTTAATTAATTTCAAAAATTTGTCAAAACTTAATTATTTTCTACAATTTCAATAAAATTTCACAAAAGAATTCAATTATTTAAAAAGAAATTTTTATAAAATTCGTCTCAAGAATTCAATTATTTTCAAAAGTAATATAATTCTTCGCAGAATTATAAATCAAATTATGTTAAAAAATTTACAAGAATTCTCGTCAAAATTTCAATTATCTTTGCAAATAAAAAAATTTTTCTCCGAAATACAATTATTTTCAAAAATTTTAATAAAATTCTTGGCAGAATTTCAATTATTTTTAATACAATTTTCATCAAATTTCTCGGAAAAATGAAATTATATTCTTAAAAATTTTATGAAAATTTGTCAAGAGAATTCAATTATTTAATAATTTGTTCTTAAAATTCTTTATGAAAATTCAATTTTAAGAAACATTCAATTATTTCATAAGATATTTATTTTTGTAGTCAAATAATTGAATTCTCGTAGAATTTTCTAATAAATAATTATTTAAAAATAAATTTCAGTTAAAATTTTAGATTATAATTGAATATTGATTATATCGTAGATTTTTAGATATAATTGAGTTTTGAAAAGGTTTAAAATTAAAATCTTTGAAAATTTGAACTTTTCATATTTTTAACTAACAATTCTGTGGAATTAATTTTTTTTCAAAAAGTTTAATGAAATTTTTTTTTAATTATTTAAAGTTTTTAATTTCTAATATAATAAATTAATTTTTTCGATTTTTGGAAGACGTATATAAAAGGTAAAAGAGTGTTTTTCTTTTACCTTTTATATACGTCTTCCAAAAATCGAAAAAATTAATTTATTAAATAACTGTGGAAGAATTTACTAAATATTTAATTTCTAATATATTTAATTGAAAAATGTCTGAAAGTTTCTCTCTGGTCTGAATAATCGAAATTTCGTAAAATTAAATTATAAACAAAAGAATTTGAAAATTCTCAAAGAACTTTTTCAAAAATGTTTTTAAAAAAATTGACTTAAAGAAGAAGTTTAGTTGAAAATTCTAGAAATAAATAATCGTGATGATGAAAATATAAATTAAAATAATTTTTGAAAAAGTTAGTCACAAAGTAGCAAGTTTTAATTATTATATGTTGTTGAATTTCGAATTTTTGAAAATGTTAATTTTTATAAAAAAATTAATAATGATTAAATATTTATTTAAAAATGAAGTTATTGATGTTTTCGAATAATTTTCCAATTAATAATAAAAGTAGTTTTAATAACGTGGAAAAATTCTGTTTTCAACCTGAAAAAGTCAGAGAATTTGAAAAGAGCAAAAGCGTGGCAACTCTGTTACCGGATTATTTATTTATAATTTAAATATTGTTTTAATTTTCCCTTTGTTACAATTTTCTAATTATTAGATAAATTATTATACTCTACTAAATATTATTATAAATAAATTATTTTATTTTACTGAGTATAATAAGTAAATTGTTATTTTACTAAGTACAATAATTAAATCGCTTGTTTGTTTTTTGCTTTTTTTGTAATAATAAGATAAACGAAGACATTCAGTTTTTTTGATTATTTCTTGTTGTTTTTTTAAATTTAATTTTCACTGAATGAGAAGCAATATTGATTAACAAATTGATTGTCATTTTAAGTTACAGGAAGGAAAAGTTTTTTGGTTAATGCGTTTTTTCGCCTCCTCGATAGTTACACCATTAGTTTGATTAAGTGCCTTGAAGCAAATGGGAATAAATGAAGTATTTTTGAAATGGGGTGTGGATCAAGTACCGACGTCGTAAAAGGTACTATTTACGAACAAGAAAAAGGACTGTCGTCTAAAAATTCAATTCCTAATTCACGAAGTTCACCTTTACACGACAACAACAATACAAAGTCAGCTTTACGTAAGTTTCGTTATTAAATTAATCAAATTATTATATACCTACATCAAGGAATAATTTTTAATTCTACTTAATTATATACTTGAAATTTTTTTTAACTGTTTAAATAAGCTAAATAAAATGTAAAATTTATTTATTTATTTATTCGTAAATTATGCTTAAAAGAATCGTTTTTAATTTTATTTAATTATAAGTTTAATAATTTTTTATTGTTTAATAACAGGGTTGCCACGGGTCAGGAAAATCAGGGAAAAGTCAGGGGTTTTTATGAAAAGTATTGGAAAAAATTAAATTTTTAGAATTCATAAGAAAATTCTTAATTTCCTAGTTCCTAGTTTTTCCCTCACTTTTCCTGATTTCTAATAGACAAAATTTCAAAGCTAAAAGGCTTTTTTTCCCTGATTTCTAGACAAAATTTTGAAGCTAAAAGGCTTTTTTTCCTGATTTCTAAACAAAATTTTAAAGCCTTTGAAGCTAAAAAGCTTCAAAATTTTGTCTAGAAATCAGGAAAAAGTGAGGGAAAAACTAATTAAATTCGAGAAAAAAATTAATTTTTTGTGGCAACCTTGAAAATATTTAAATTAAATAAATTACTTGTTATGGAGTTAGTTTGAGTTTAAGTTTGAGTTTGAGTTTGAATTAGCGTTAAAGTTTGAGTTTTAGTAGTAATAATTTGTTAATTTATTTGTAAAAAATGCATTTATTTGAACATTGTGGATGGGAAAATGCACTTTCCTTTTTTTTTTATTCAGGTCAACCCTTGGCTTTCGAAGTGCCCATAAATGATGAAGAAAAGTCTATAATTAAGAGGCATCCTCCAATGAGATTTCAGCGACTCGAGGAGCAACAGTTGCCACAGCCCGAGGTGACCTTGGAAATGTTGCAAAAGCGACAGGCAGATGCTGAAATAAGAAGGCGTAGGGTAAGATGTTCATCTTGTAATTAAGCACCACCGTTCATAATTGCAAGACAAAATTCTCCATCTTCTGTCCATGCAACTCCATTTATAGAGTAAACTATTTTTTCTTTTCACATTTTTATTTTAAATCTTTTTTTTTCGCATTTAAAGGCTTCGCACTCATTTACTAAAACCTACTCTTTACTACTTTTTTTACGATTTGCTTATACTATTTTGATACTATTTACTAATTTTTTTTGACGATTTGTTACTATTTCGATACTTTTTTTAGATTCATGTCACTAAAAGATAATTTTTTCTTTCTTTTTTTTTGAGAATTCTGACAAAAATTTGGAAAATAATTAAATTTTACAAAAATTTAGAATTAGATTTATTATCAGGGTATAGAAAGAAGTTAGTATTCTTTCTGGAAATCAAAATTCATAATCAAATTTTTGTGCTAACCCTGAAAAAAAGTTATTTTTTTTGCAGGCTGAATTTATTTATTTACTATATTAATCTCCGTATATTTTATTCATTCTCTCCGCAGTTTGAAGTTAGTTACTGTGTATGCTTCTGCTTTTTTTTCTTTAAAAAATATTGTTTGACAAATCGAAAATATGCAGGTATTTTTTCACGACTTATAATAAAATAATATTACAAATTAGAAAATTGAAAAAAATTATGATTAACAAATAAAAAATATAATTATTTTGTTTGTTATATGCTTTTTTTCTATAACAAATTTCGTTTGACTGATCTAAATTATTATGCAAATTATTCTCCTTTTTATTTATGAAAAATACTAGAAAATTGTTAATTGTTAAAAAATTTTTATTAAGAATTAGGAAATATACCCATTTTATGCATAATTTTTATTTCTCAATAACAATATTGTTTACAAACTCATTTTTTTCTTTTGGGAAGAAAAACATTAAATATTCCCGTTTCTTAATATTTTTGTAGAAAATTCTCAGTTTTCATAAGGAAATAATTTGCATCAATTCTATTTCTTAATTTCAATTGTTTTAATAAAATTCAAAGTTTTTTTAAAAATAGAGGGAAAAAATGTTTATAAATTATATTTGTCAATTGGAAAATTTAATTGAAAATGAAACTGGAAATTTTTGAATTTTTAGAAAATAAAGGAAAAAATTTTATTGAAAAAAAATGTTCTGTTAAATTTATTTACGAATATCTTTAATTGTAAAATTATTCGAAAACAATAATTTCTTTTTTAAATATTTTTAATATTTAATTATTATTATTTTTCCGCAGGAATTAAAATTCTTCAAAACATTCAAATTCAAACCTATTTGAAATTAATCAGCTTTAAAAATATTTTTATAAAACATAAAGGAACGAGTGTTAAAATCATTATTTTATATTATAAGAATATTATTACTGTAACTTCTTAAAAATTATTTTCATATTCTATTATTATCTAAAATTTAAACTAGAATTCATTTTCAAATCAATTTTTATTGGAAAATTTTACGAGAAATTTTGTTTAAATACAAAAGTCAATTATTTATTGAATATTTGAATGTTTCTTAAAATTGAATTCTTATAAAGAATTTTATTAACAAATTTTTAAGTAACATTTGAATTCTTTTGACGGAATTTTAATAATATTTTTTAGAATAGTTACAACTTTCAAGAAATTAGATAAAAATTGTATAAAAAATAATTGAACTTCTGCGATTTCTATTATTTCTAAAAATAAATGAATTATTGAGAAAAATTTAATTAGAAAATTCTTCTTTAGAAGAATTTAATTAAAATTGTACTAAAATAATTGAAAATATTCAAGGAATTGAATTAAAATTGTCCCGAAAATATTTGAATTCTTCTAAATAATCTTACAAAAACTTTTGAAAACAATAGATTTTCTGCGCAGAATTTAATTAAAATTTCTAAAAATAATTGAATTCTTTCAAGAAATTTTATTAAAATTATATTGAAAAAATTAAATTTTTATAAACAATTTTATCAAAATTTAGAAAATAATTGAATTCATTTGAGAAATATTAAAACTGTATTATTAAAAATGATTAAATTCCTGCGAAGAATTGTATTATTTTTTAAAATAATTGAATTCTTGTGAAGAATTTTATTTATGAAAACTTTGAATTTTTGCTATGATTTATAAAAATAATTGAATTCCTAAAAAGAATTTGATTATTTATGAAAATAATTGAATTATTGCGAAAAAATTCATAAAAATTTTGTAAATAATATAATTCCTACAAAGAATTTTATTTTTTATGAAAATAATGGAATTCTTGCGACGGATTTTATTAAAATTTTGAAAAATAATTCAATTTTAGCAAGAATGTTATTATTTATGAAGATAATTGAATTCTTGACAAAAATGTTATTCAAATTTTGGAAAATAACTGAATTCCTGCAAAGAAGTTTGCTAATTATGAAAATAATTGAATTCTTGCGAGAAAATTTATAATGAATTGTAATTATTCGAATTCCTGTGAAATTTTTATTATTTATGAAAATAATTAAATATTTGCGGGACAATTTTATTAAAATTGTTTTTAAATAATTTAATTCTTTTAGGTAATTTTATTAAAATAGTAGATATTAAAAATCATTGAAATGAGGAATATTTTTGAAAATAATTGAAATTTTGACAAGAATTTTATTAAAATTTTTGAAAAACAATTGAATTTTGAAGAATTTTTTTATTTATAAAGATAATAATTGGGATTTTGTCGAGATTTTCTTGTAAATTTTAAACATAATTGAATTTTGGGATAAGAATTTTATTCCTTTTGAAAAAAATTGACTTTCTGCAATCATTTGTAACTTCTTCAAAATTCAATTTTTTTATTGTTTTTATCTAAAATTATTATCTATAAATCCATTATTTTGTATAATTAATTAAATATATATTGACAAATTTAACTAATTTTAGAAGATTTTGAATTATTATAATTTTTCAAAAATCTAATTTCTTTAAAATTAATATTTAAATCCTACGTTCAAAATTAAAATTTTATAAATTTTTAAATTGAAACCGCTTGAAGTTCATTTATTTATGAAAATTGTAAACGCAACTCTTTTAAAATTGAATTAATTTTGAAATATTTAAATAAAATTATTCATTAGAAATAATTTATTTATTTTATGATAGTTGTTCAAGATTTAAGTTATTTAAAAAGAAATTTTTGGCAGAAATTGAAAATTTTTATAGAAAAAAAATTTAAATTAAAAATTTTTACGTTCTATTATTTTTATAATTGCTAATTTTATTTTAAAAAAGTGAGGGAGAAGTCAGCGCGCGAATTGCTGATAGTTTTTATTTAAAATCATAAATCCATAAAATATTATAATTGTAAAAAGAATTTTTGCACATGTCCTGATTTTCTTTTTATTTTCTTAGAAATGTAAGAGTGAGAAAATTTAAGGAGAATATTAAAAATATGTATATTAATAAATCCAATTTTTTTTTCTCCACAGATATTACTCACGAGGGTGCAATCTGCTCAACAATTTCAACAAAAAGTTCGCACCACATCGTAACTCCGAACAATACTTTCACGCTGTGTTATTGCCAAGTTTACGATTTATTATCAAGTTTTACCCATATAGGTAAAGCTGTTCGACGTCATGTAAGTTTCTGTTATAAAATTCTTATCTACAATTTTATTTTAACGGTTCTCTTTAAAATGATGATGATAATTCGAAAAAGAAAAATGTACATATTTATAATATAGTTAATAATAAATTTGTAAAAATTTTGCTATTTTTTAGCAAAACGAAAAGTAATAAACTATTCAATTTTAAAATGAAAGTATTTATTGTGATTTGTGACACAGAAAAAAAGTAAATTACTCATCTTTCTGTCTATAATTTTGAATATTGAAAATTTTTTTTGTTATTCTTGTTTATGTTTTTTAAACGTACATTTTTCATTTTTAGTTATTATTTTTGTTTTAGTTTCAGTTACTTTTTTTTTAGTTGTTAATTTTTTTTCTGATATTCACTATGGTAAATTAATTTTTTTCTGTATTTATTAATTATTTAATTAATTACCTAACGAATTTAATTATTTTGCTATACAAAAGGCGTAAATACTGTTAAATACCATATTTTGGCCTTTTTATTTGAAAGTAATTACGATTTTAACAAAAGGCAAATATTTTTTATTAGCGTTTTACTGTTTACAATGTACAATAGGTATTTATTTATTTATTCATTTATCTATTTATTTATTAATTTATTTATTAATTTAGTACTTTATTTATTAACTTATTACTTTATTTATTCATTAATTTATTTGTTCATTTAATTATTTATTCATTCATTATTTATTTTAGTTATTTTATTATTTCAAGGAAATTTTCCAGTCGCTTTAAAAAAATATCCTGCTGCCTTTTTTTAAAGTTTATAAAACTTATATTATTCTCTTCGCGAAATGGGAGAAGTGTTGCGCAACACTTCGATTTATATTTACTAAACTGAAATATTTAATGACTCTTGTTACTTTCGCAAATAACAGATGAGAGATTCATACAAAATAAATACACAAATATTGATTCTCGTCCCGGGAGAGAACCTAAAGGAAAAAAAAGGAAAAAAAGTGTGGTAGGGTCAGTGACTGGGGAAGGAAACAACATTTTATTGACGTTTACTATATCGGGTTTAATTTTTATTCGATTATTTTTATTCCAATGAAAATTTTATTGTCATCTTGAATTATAGTTGAAATATTAAAAAAAAAAATTCTCTCTTCTAATGTTTTCAGATAAAATTTTCTCGCTGATGGTTGGAAAATATATGTAATGAAAATTATAATTGTCCTGAATTGAAATTCACTGTTATACGTGTTTGCTGAAATCAGCTAAATGAACGTCGTCAATGCAGTATTATATCGATTTCTTTTTTCCAAGAGTCAGCAATGTTTGAATAGTCCGGAAGAATTTGTTCAATAGATAACTTTTTTTTCCGTTTGATTGTAGTTACGGGGTTCTTTTTCATTTTCGATCGAAGTAAAAATAACTTTGCTTTTTTCATTTCATGCGTAAATCGGAAAATTGGATTTCAAAAATAATGAGAGAAAAACTTTTAATTGTTTATTGAGTTTTTAAATCTAAATTTTGAAAGTCGCGTTAATTTAGTTCTTTTTTCAAAATTCATTATTTTTTATTTTCAGTTGAAGTGAAAATAATTTTGTTTTTTTAATTTTTTCTAAATTGCAAAATTTAGAAAGTTTTGAGGTTTCTTTATTGATTTTTTTTTAATCTAAATTTTGAAATTCGTGTTTTATTGGTTGATTTAATATTTTTTTAAAAAAGTTTATAACTTTTTTCTCCGAAATATTATTTAAAAATTGTTTTCAAATATAAAACAACTTCTTTTTTCTGGTTCAATTATATTTACGGCCTTTTCTTTATTTTCAATTGAAGTAAAAATAAATTTTCGCTTTTTTATTCATCTAAATAGCAAAGTTGGATTTTAAAAAAAATAATAATTACGAGGGCGAAAATTCGTATTCAATTTATTATTAGTTTGCAAATTACCAAATTTTATATTTTCAAAATGTCAATTTTTGAATAATTTTACATTCAAAATTTAAAAAAAACTTATTTATTACCTAATTAATTGTAATTAATAATTTGCAAAAAGTTTGATAAAATTCTTAGCAGGAATTCAATTATTTCTAAAAAATTTATGCAATTTTTTCGAAACAATACAATTATTTACTTAAATTTAAATTTAAATTTAAATTATTTTGAATACAATTTTAATTAAATTTAACGATAGTATTTAATATAATTTTTCAGATATTTCAATAGAATTCTTCGAAACAATTTAATTCATTTTAACAATTTTAATGAAATCTTTTTTGCAGAAATTTAATTTCATTCATAAACAATGAAATTTTTAACTGGTATTCAATTATTTTCTAAACTTTTTATAAAATTCTTTTCAAGAATTCAATGATTTTCATAAATATAATTATTTTCAGATATTCAATTATTTTTAATATTAATAAAAGTTCCTCGAAAGAAATCAATTATTTTTATAAAGAATACATTTTTTCGCATTAATTCAATTATTTTATAAATGTAGATTGTAATGAAAATTGCATGAAAGAATTCAATTATTTTCTAAAACTTTGATAAAAATTCTTTATGAGAATTGAATTATTTTTTTATACAATTTTAAATAACATTTTTTGTACGGATTTAATTATGTTCAAAAATTTCAATAACATTTTTTTAAAAAATTAAATTATTCTCAGAAGTTTTGATAAAATTTTTTGTAAATTTCAATTCAAATCATTTAAAAAGTTAGAAAACAAAAACTTTAAATTGCGAACCGATTACTGTAGTAAAACGATTATTAATATAGACTTTTCATTTATTTTCAGTTTAATTTGGCCTTTCTTCCAAAAATGGATTTTAAAATCAAGAATAAATTCGGATCAATGGAAGAAGACGAAGATTAAACCAAATCGAAATCTCTCAAGAAACTGAATTTTGGTGGAATAAAAGGAAAAAACGAAAAGAAATTTTAATTTTTTAAAGGATAGTGGAAAAATTATTGAAATTACGGAATATAAAAAATTAAAACTACAGGATAGAAATAATTAAAGTTCCACAAAATAAATAACTGAAATTACCGGATAGAAATAATTAAAGATCCAGAATAAAAATGAAGAACAAAATTTGAAACTATAGGATAGAAATAATTGAAGTTACAGAATATATAAAAAATACAGAATAAAAATCAAGAACGAAATTAAAAATTTGAAACAATAGAATGTAAATAGTTGAAACTGCAGAATAAAAAAATTTACATGGTGGCCACATGTCAGTAAAGTCAGGGAAACAAAATTTTTTTTAGTAAAGGCATTTGAGAGACTTTTTTCAACATATTTTCAAAAATTGCGACTTTTTCGACTATTCTTCCAAACATTGCAACCTTTGATTTTTATAAGGCGAAAAATAACTATAAACCAATCATTCAAAAATTGTTTTTAAATCATTTTTTAATATAATTAAATTTTTCAAATATATCTGTAATAAAAATATTTTTGAATAATTGAAATTTTGTAAAATTTAATTGAAAATAATTTATTTATTTCAAGTATTTTATTAAAATTTTTGAAAATCCACTTTTGAAGAATTTTCATTACACATTTTGAAAATAATTGAATTATCAAAAATTTTAATGAGAAATCTTTAAAGGTAAATTTAAAAATAAAAATTAATGAAGATTAGCTTCTAATTTTTTTAAATTAAATAATTTCAGTATTTTCAATTACATATTTAGAAAAATTCAAATATACATACAAAAATAATAACATTTTAGAATTACTTTGAATATTTTGGAGAAAAAAATCATGTTTAAAATTTTTAATTAAAATTCATAAAAAAATTTATTAATTTTTCAAATTATACAAAATTTCTTTTAAGAAATTCAATTATTTTCGAAAAATCACGTTAAAAAATTTTTAAAAACTAATTATTAGAATTGTTTTTTTAATAATTTATAATAATTATCTTCAAAAATGTAAAAAAAAAATTATAAAAATTTAGTTTCTGGACTCATTAAAATTTTGGAGATATCATGGTCCTGTTTATAATTAAAATTCTTCAAAAATTTAATCATTTTCAGTTGAAAATTATATAGAAAATAATTGAATTCAGGAAGGATTATAATTGTTAATTTTTAGAAATTATTAATTTCATAAATTTTACTTTTTTACCGTAAACATTAATATTTTCCTGTAAAAAGAATTTTGTCAGGGAAATTGATAAACTGAAACTTGTGACCACCTTCATTTAAAAATACATAAACTCAATTTTTTATAATAATTGTGACTCTCCATAGTTGTTTCTTAAGTTATTAAGGTATAATATTTTCAAAAAATTATAATAAAGAAATTCTTACAATTAATTTTTTACAAATATTTTTAAATAATTTTTGAACGATAATAGTTTTTTAAATTTTGAAAAATTTCCAAATAATTGAAATTTGGTAAAATCTTTTAAAAATAATTTAATTTTTGAAAAGTATAAATAAAAATGATAAAATTTTTGAAAAATTTTAATTATATACAGGCCCATGATTTCTCAAAAATTTTAATAAGTCGAAAAAGTAAATTTTTAATCTTAAAAAATTATTACAAATGAATTTTAATAATTAGTTTTTAAAAATATTTTATTAATGTAATTTTTCGAAAATAATTGTTAAAAGAATTTTTGTATAATTCAAAAAAACTAATGAATTTTTTGATGATTTTTAATTAAAAATTTTGAACATTATTGTTTTCTCTAAAATGTTAAAAATAATTCTAAAATGTTATTATTTTTGGAAATATATAATTGAAAATATCAAAAATATTGAATTTTAAAAAATTAGAATCTTATTTACATTTTTAAATTTACCTTTAAAGAATTTTCATTAAAATTTTTGATAATTCAATTATTTTCAAAATTTGCAATGAAAATTCTCCAAAAGTTGATTTTTAAAAATTCTTACAAAATACTTGAAATAAATTAATTATTTTTAATTAAAAATTAAAATTTTACAAAATTTTAACTATTTGAAAACAATTTTTAAAAGATTTGTTTATAGTTGTTTTCTGCATTATAAAAATCAAAATAAGTTGCACTTTTTACTAAAAATTGTGGTATTTCGTTGCAATGTTTGGAAGAAAAGTTGAAAAAATCGCAATTTTTGAAAATAAGTCGAAAAAGTCTCTATTTTCTTAATTTCCTTGATAAAAAATTTTTTTCATTACATTCACCTGGCTTAACTGACAAAATTTTTTTTTTATGTGTCATGGAAATTTTATCATTTATCACCTGGAAATCATGGAATTTTATAAGGAGAAATTTTTAGAAACCCTGTAGACGTAAATTATTGAAATCTCCAGAAGAAAAGAAAATCGACGCAAAGAAAGAATCAAAATTGTTTTCATTGAAAAGAAAGAAGTCTTCATTGAGCAAGAAGAGGATCATTTTAAGAAAAATTGTTGATTTGTCCGTTAAAATAATGGAAATAAACTACGAACAGTGAAAATGAAATGAGAAATAAAAATTAAGGAATGGAAAATAATCGAAAATTTAAAATATCGATTCAAATTTTGGAAATATTTTTTCTCAATATCAAGTTGAAAATTAACAGAGAAGAAATTGGAAATTCGATTAATATTTCCCTCTCGATCAACTGTTTTTGGAGATATTACACTAAAATAACAGGACTTGACTATTTAGAAACCACTTTACCAGACGGAATTTATATTCTGGCATTTTTTTTTCCCTCTTTTAGATGAAAAAAAAAGAAAAAAAGAAAAGAGAAAAAAAACTCGACCCTCTGAAGTAGTAGGTATCTGACAAACGTATCTGAGATACTTGTATCTAGATATTATACGGTACCGGTCTCGCGTATAAGCCGCTCGCGTAAAACGAATGCAAGAAGAGACATTACAAAAGTAGTGGGAGGCGATCGTGACCCGCGCGAGCAAGAAAGATAAATGATTAAAGACGCGAGAAAGAGAGATGAGACGAGTGACTGAGTCAGTAGTAAACCGAGCGAGTGAGTGGGTCAGCGAGAGAGTCGAGTTGTAATCGGGCATATAAACTAGAGGGTGGAACAAAGAGGGACGATGTGAGGGTGGCTGCGAGTGAGAGGGAATGACTCAGGGCACTTGAGGTCGAAAAGAAATACATAGTGATTCCTGCGAACCAACTTGGATAGACAGAGAGAAAGCGAGTGCAAAAGAGCCAAGTCTCTTGATCTTAAAAAGACTTAGGAGAGAAAAAGGTATATATATATAAAATGAAAAGAGACTTGTCTAAAGAGAGAAGGATGGGAGGAATGCTATTAAATTCTTGAGAATTTAGATAAGGAAAATCTCGAGTTGAAAATTCTGTTTTTCCTTTACTTTTACGATATTATAATGCAAAATACTTCCAGGAATTCAGAACAATTTCTATAAATTACATTTTCTTAATTCCTTAACTAATTGGTCATTTTTCGCTCATTCAACTTTTTGAATCAGCTTTCTTTATTCATTTTGGTTTCAAAATTTACGTTTGAATTTTCGATCATCAATTTTTCTCATCTTGTACAAGAATTTAGTTTCTTTTCTTCTTTGAGATTTTATGAAAATTAATATAAACGAAAATTAGTTTCTGTTTAAAAAATTTCGTCTGAACTAAAATTAGTAGGAAAAAAAATAAATAAAATCAGTTCTAATTTAGGAAAAATTTATTATCAATTTTAGTTTAAAAAAACAATACGGAAAAGGGAATAAATAACTTTTACAACTTTCGTAGTAAAATCTAAACTGACAGGAACTTTTGCGAATTTCTGCTTTGCAATTTTTACTAATTTCGGAATAAGTAACATTTTGGTAAAATTTGCTTCGAACGTAGCAAACTTTACTCCGAAATTAGTAAAATTTGCAAAGCATTTTAGTAAAATTTACTTCGAACGTAGCAAACTTTATTAGTTTAAAATAGTTTAAAATAAGTTTGAAATTGCAAAGCAGAAATTCACAGAAGTTTTGGGAAATTCGCAGAAGTTTTCTTTGTAAATCGTAAAAATAGCCAATTTTTTCCGTGTAAAATAAACTAAAATTAGTTTCAGTTTTGGAAAATCTGTATAATTTGAAATTAGTTTTAGTTTTAAAAAATCAAGTATAAACTAAAATTAGTTTTTGTTAAAAAAATTAGTGTTAAACCAAAATTGTTTTTTGTTCAGAAAATTAGTGTTAAACAAAAATTGTTTTTGTTCAAAAAATTAGTGTAAACAAAAATTATTTTTTGTTCAAAAAATTAGTATTTAAACTAAAAGTAGTTTTCGTTTAACAATTAGTGTAAAATTTTGAATAATTTATAAAGAAATATTATTTAAAATTTACAATTTTATTAACGAAAAAATCGTTTTTATAGGAAAAGGAAGAAAAGCGGAGAAGAAAGAGAGTGCATCCTAAAAGTCTTGATGACAAGGAAAAAAAAGATCAACAAATTGTCACACTTGCAAGATTTGACAATTTACTTGCAGACAACCGAAAGCGGAAAAAAAGGAAAGGTGACTAAAAAGAAAATTATAAAAATATATTTTATCCTTTAATAGTACTCTAAAAAAAAATATGATTCACAAGTTACAAACTTCTGCAAATAAACGAATTCTTTTTTGGCGATAAAAATATTTTCTAAAATTATATCTATACAATAAATATAGCAAAAACGAAATTAAATATTTAGAAACTTTATGATTTATTCTTTTTATAGGTGACGCAATATTTTTTTCATTAAATTTAAAATTTGAAGAAAAAGCAAATGAATTTCCTTCATTAGAATGTTCAAAACTTTAAGGAATTTCAAAAAACTAGCTCAAATTTTGAATAATTTGAAATTCAAAGTTTAAAAAAACTCATATTAACCATTTAATTGTAATTTATAATTTTCAAAAAGTTTAATAAAATTTTTTGCAGGAATTCAATAATTTTCTAAAATTTTCATAAAATTCATCAGAAAAATTCAATTATTTTTATAAATAATAACATTCATCGAAAAAATTCAATTATTTTCGTAAATAATAAAATTCTTCTTAGAAATTCATTAATTTTTTCAAAAAAATCAAATTCTTTCCAGAAATTCAATTATTTTTCTTAAACTGTAAAATTTAAATAAAATTTTCCTCAAATTTCAATTATTTTTATATTATTTTTTTTTATTATATTCATCGAATCAATTCAATTATTTTTATAAATAATAAAATTCTTTGCAGAATTTCAATTATATTTTCTAAACATTTAATAAAATTCTCCCCAAAATTTCAATTATTTTCATAAATAATGAAATTCTTCCCAGATATCTAATTATTTTCTAAACTTTTAATAAAATTCTCAATTTCAATTATTTTAAAAAATTTTTATAAAATTCGTTAAATCAATTCAATTATTTTCATAAATAAAATAATTTCTCTCTGAAATCCAATTATTGTTAATACAATTTGAATAAATTTCTGAAAACTAATTATTTTCAAAAAAATTTCATAAAATTCATCGAATCAATTCAATTATTTTCAATTTTCTTTTCATAAATAATAAAATTTTTTCGCAGAAATTTAATTATTTTCTATAGATTTTAATAAAATTTCTTGAAAGAATTCTATTATTTTCTCAAGTTTTGATAAAATTCTTTAAAGGAATTTTTGGAAGGATTCAATTATTTTCATAAATAATCAAAATCTCAGGAATTCAATTATTTTCAAAAATTTTAATAAGATCTTTCACAAATATTCCATTGTTTTCATAAATTATAAAATTGTTAATAGGAATTCGATTATTTTCATAAGTAATAAAATTCATTAGAGGAATTGAATTATTAAAAAAAATTTAATAAAACCTTTTGCAAAAATTCAATTTTTTTATAATTAAATTTTTTGCTGGAATTCAATTATTTTCTAAAATTTTAATAAAATTCTTCGCAACAATTCAATTTTTTTTAGTAAATAGAATAATTATTCACATATTTTTATAAGTTTTATTAAATTCCTCACATGAATTAAATTATTTTAATGGAAAAAAATTCTTCGCAGAAATTATTTTTTCTTCAATACAATAAGTATCATAATCCATATTTTACATTAATAAAAATTAGTTTTTTTTTACAATAATATAATTATAAGCAACTATTAATGCAAAATAAATTTGTTTAATTGAATTTTTTTTAATAATCAAAACATTAAATCATACATAATTTTATTAATTTAAAAAATTTAACATTTAAGAAGAAAAATTATGAAAAAGATTAGAAAACAAAAACGCGAACAAACGTAACTAACTTCAAACTGATTCAAAATTTGAACTGACATAAAAAATACAACGTCTATTAATTGGTTTAATTAATTAAATTTAATGAATAATAGGTTACCTATAAATAATAATAAATAACTAAAGAAAATAAAATAAATAAAATAAAACTTAAAGACAGTAATAATAGCTGAACAAAAAGGAAGAATTATTGAAATGAGTAAACAATATTTCTCAATTTGCTAATAATAATAATTTGCTAATAGCTTGAGTTTAGTTTGATTCAAAAAAATTATTTTCTAAGTCTCGAGAGTAAGTATTAATTTTATAATTATAATAAATATATATTATTTTTCTTCTTATTATTATTATTATCATTATTATTATTGCATTACATTGTAAACAATGAAGATATAATGATACAAAATATAGTTTAAATTTTTCAGTTTTTCTTTAGTTTTTTTTTTTTTTATCGTAGAGGGGACTAAATTTTTTTTCCGTTTTTAATAAACCAGTCACGTCTCATTATTATGATTATTTTCCGTAGGAAATTTTTCAAATTCATTATCAAACTGGCCACGGAGGTAATTCCAAGGAGATGATCACATGGGATAAGAGGAAGCGAGTATTGAACGAGGATGAAATGAATCGATGGGAAAATTGGTGTAAGAGAGAAACAAATATTTACCGAAGAGAAAGACGAAGAAACAAAAGGGTTGAAGGGAAAACGAAGAGAGCGAATAGCTAAGAAAACAAGATGGGGGAGTGGGGCATTTGAAAAAAAGTAGTAGAAGAAGAAGAAGAATGATGATGAAGACTGTGATGAAGAAAAGGAGAAAGAAAAAGAAGGAGAAGGAGAAGAGGAAAAAGGCGAAAGAGACGAAGAAGAAATAGAAGAAGAAGAAGAAGAAGAAGACGACGAAGAGGAAGAAGTAGAAGAAGTTGGAGGTGGAGGTGGAGGAAAAGAACGAAGCAGGAGAACCAGCCTCCGCAACGTACCCACGTGTTCAGTATAGTAGCGCGTTATGACCCGGATGTTAGATTGCAGCTGCAGTTTCGCGAGAACCTGCCGTCCCGGATGTCCCTCTCGACGTCGTTTAGCCATCCTCCACTAATGTCCTCCTCCTGGTCATCGAAATATGTTCAATCGGTAAGTCCACGAGTTTATTCATCAAAAAAAATTGTTTTTCTAACGCCACCACCACTTTCGATGGTCAATTTGTTTTTCTCAACCCTTTCGATTGCCGAGAATAATTCTTCACTTGCGCGAGTGAATTTTTTTTTATCCCCTTTTTCTTGTGATTCAAGTGAAAATTTCGAAAATTTTGGACAAAGCTTTATGGAGCTGGGGTGAGTAACGAGGCACAAATTCTCATTAGAATCATTTTCAATTTCAACAGACAGCAATTTTCGTCTTAGATTTTTATTCCTTATTTTCTTTTCATTTCTATTTTTAATTTTATTTTGATTTTATTTTAATTTTTGGATTGATTTTGAATTTATTTCGATTTTATTCTAAACTTATTGATTTTTATTTTATTTTAATTTCTATTTTAATTTTATTTTGATTTCGATTTTAATTTTATTTCGATTTTATTTTGACTTCGATTTTATTTTGATTTCGATTTTAATTTTATTTTAATTTGTTTTACTTTTACACTTCCAAATTCTCTATTTAGTAAAATTTTCTTTAAGTTTTCCCCCTAATTTCCTTTAGTTTTCAATTCTTTTTTTCTATTTTTATTCTTTTAAAAAATAAGAAATATTTTTATTCTCAAAAAAAATGTATTTTTATTCTCCCAAAAAAATAAGAAATATTTTTATTCTCCTAAAAAATAGGAAATATTTTTTTTCTCCTAGAAAATAAGAAATATTTTTATTCTCCTTAAAACTAAGAAATATTTTTATTATCCCAAAAAAAAAGAAATATTTTTATTCTCCTTAAAACTAAGAAATATTTTCATTCTCCCAAAAAAATAAGAAATATTTTTACGCAAAATCGAAAAAATAAATCATTTCCAATCTTTATTTTCCGAACGATTAGAATTATTATTTGCTTTTTCAGAAAACAAAAATAAAGAAGTTATTAATTTTTTTTTTTTTTTTGATGATAAAAAGACAAATATACTCCGGTTTTTTATTAGAATATCTAGTAAAAAATTTCTTGTATCAGAGAGATAGAGGGGAATCAAATATTTTTTTATTTCGTGATAAGGATGAAACTAAAAGAAAATTCTTTTTTCCAAACTGATTGTGTTATATTCTTTTTTGTGCGAAAGAAAAAAAAATTCAGTTTGCCAAAATTCGAAAGAGAGGAAAAGATTTTTTTTCAGTTTTAAATTCTTTTGAGTGACTCGTTTTAAATTAAAAAAAATTTTGGATTTGAAAAAAAAGAAATAAATATTTAAAGTGATCGGGCACAAAAAGTCTCTATAAATTTTCTGTTATAAATAATGGATAGGTAAACATTGACCATTAATCATGAATTAAACATGAAGTTATTTATTCCTATATATATATACGTTGTTCGTTATCGTTTACCCAGAGCAGAATTCCCATAAAATGAAAGTTAATCGACATTTTTTTAGTGATGCAAATTATAAATTTTTCATTTTTATTTATTTACAAAAATTATTCATTTGTTACTATTTTTTTAATTGTCTCAAAATTTTTTCAGTATTGTAAAATCAAAATTTTTATAAAATTAGAAGAAAACGTATGTAAATGTGGTTAATTTTATCATTCCTTGTTTAATTGTATTTTTTATGCAGACTATGAATTTTTATTCGTTTTTTTATTCAGACAATTAAATTCCGTTATTGTCGCTTGAAGAAAAATATTAATTTAATGGAAATATTTCTCGCTACTTGGAAAACTTGTCTTTTTTAATTACTTTACCAAAAGAAAAAGGAAAGGAAACGGAAAAATTTTTTCTGGGGATTAAAATTTGTAATTAATAATTAAGTGAAAATTTGGTAATTTATAATTAAGGAACAATTTAGTAATTTAGTAATTAAAAATTGAGTAAAATTTTGTTATTTATAATTGGGTAACAATGTAGTAATTGATAATTTTGTAACTAATAATAATTATATCGAATTATAATTTTCGAATTTTATTTATTATTTTGAATTATAATTCGAATTATCAATTTCAATTCGAAATAATTATAAATCGAAATTAAAATTATTCGGAATAATTATAAGTCAAACAAAAAATTGTTGGAAATAATTGTAATTCGAAATGAAAATTATTCGGAGTAATTATAATTCGAAACGGAAATTATTCGAAATAATTATAATTCAAAGCGAAAATTATTCGAAATAATTATAATTCGAAACAATAATTATTATTCGAAGTAAAAATTATTCGAAATAATAATACAGTTCGAAATAAAAATTGTTTGAAATAATTATAAAATCTAAGTAATAATTATATAATTCGAAACAATAATTTTTCGAAAGAATAGTAATTACAATATTATGAATAATAATTATTAATTATCGATGAATAATTTGATTAGTTTAATTAAGGAATGAATTAATAATAATAATAGAATTATAAAAATAATTTGATTAGTTTAATTAAGGAATGAATTAATAATAATAGAATTATAAAAATGTGAATTAGCATCATAACGAGTGATAATATTGACTTTTGCTTGAAGGATAGATGCGAGCAAGTCGACGAAAGGTGCGAGCAAATTACGAAGGGACCTGATAAACGCAGAAATCGCGAATCTACGTGATCTTCTGCCACTTCCGCCTTCGACGCGACAGAGGCTCTCTCAACTTCAACTTATGGCATTAGTTTGTGTCTTTTTACGTAAAGCCAACTATTTTCAGCACGGTGAGACACAATTTCTATTAGCGTTCACATTTTTAATTTCATAATTTTACCATTTTTAATTCTACAAACAAAAAGGGAAAAAAAATCTTTCATAATTTATTCACTCGACAAAAAAAGCGCTATAAAATTATACGCAATTAACTCTAGAAAATTGTTTTAATAATTGACAATTTTCGTTCTAGAATTGTTTCAAGTAGGGGGAAAAATTTCTATTTAATTGTCAACACACTTTTTTGACGTTTAAAATATTTCATTTTCATTTCATATTTCATTTTCTTTTTTGATTAATCTGTATAATTTAATTAACAATTTATTTATTTATTCTCAAAATTCATTCATTACTTTTTCTTTTTTAATTTTTAATTTTGTAAGTTTTTGAAAAAATTCCTTTTTAACTGTCAATTTTTTTACATTTATTGAAAAAATATATTTTAATCTCTTTTTTAATCAACAATTTAATTAATTTTTTAATTTTAATTTTTGATTTCATAATTTTTTGGAAAAATACCTTTTTAATTGTCAGCACTTTTTTTGTTGCAAGAAAATATTTCTCATTCCTTTTTGTAACTAATTCGTATTTTTTTAATTAACAAATGAATTAATTTTTTCTATTTTAAAAATTGAGAAGCGCAAAAATATTTAAAATATTGTTATTTTGTATTAATAATATTGTTAAATTAACAATATTTTTAATATTTTTGAAAGTGAAAAATTAATTCAATTGGTAATTAAAAAGTACAAATTAATTACGAAAGGAAACAAAATATTTCTTGCAATTAAAAAAAGTGCTGTTGAAATAACAATATCTCGAATTTTTTTTCGACTTCTCAATTTTTAAAATAAAAAAATTAATTCTTATTTGTTAATTAAAAAAAAAATACAAATTAATTACGAAAAGGAACGAAATATTTTTTTGCAACAAAAAAAAGTGCTGACAATTTTAAAAAATATATTTTTCCAAAAAATTATGAAATTAAAATTGAAAAATTAATTAAATTGGTGATTAAAAAAGAGATTGAAAAATATTTTTTCAACAAATATAAAAGAAAAAAAATATTGACAGTTAAAAAGGAATTTTTTCAAAAACTTACAAAATTAAAAATTAAAAAAGAAAAAATAATTAAATTGTTAATTAAATAATACAGATTAATAAAATTTTTGAATATTTTGAAATTGAAAAATTAATTTAATTCTTAATTAAAAAAATACAAATTACAAAAGGGAACGAAATATTTTTTCGCAACCAAAAAAGGTACTGACAATATTAAATATTTTTGATAATATAAAAATATTTCTTTTTGGTAATAAATTAAAATTTGTCAATAAACTAAAAATGAAATTGTAATTTATACAATTCTTTTGTTAATTTATTGAATTAGCGATTGATTCACTGAATAGAAGATTGTTTAAAGTACGAAATTCTAAATTCTAAATTCTAAATTTAAAACTACAAATGAAGGAAAAAAGTCAATCAAATATGGAAGTAAAAAATGGAGTTTTTCTTTTCGAGTTTTAAATGAAAATGAAAAAGAATATGAGACAAGGGTGAAAGGGGGAGAAGGAATTCCTTGATTTAATATAGATTTTAAAAGCATTGTTCCAATGGGTATACAATGTGTCCTCCAGCGAAATGAGGTTCAACTTCTTTAGAAAAAACAATTTTTTTTACCCTTCCGAGTTACAATACTGTATCGGTTTTTGTATCTCATTCTATCTTTGTATTTCTTTGGAAGAAAAAATATCGTTACTTGTGGCGTAAGAACAATAGAAAGTACAATCTGTTTCAAAAGTTGCTTGGGGGTGCCATGTATCAAGAGAGAAAGAAAAAGAGAAAGAGACGTTTGGGTCACGAATCAAAAGATTATGAATTCAAATATGACCCCGGCTTAAAACAAAATTTTATGTTTCGCTCGCTTCATATTATTTTCATTTTCAATTTTGCTTCTGTTTATTTTCATTTAATTTAATGTAAATTTAATCATTTATAACAAAACATCTTTTTTTGAAAAAAAAATGTCTACTGCTTGATTTTCTTTTTATTTTATATTTTATTATCAAAAAGTACGTATAAAAAATAAAAATTGAGAAAAAATTTTTCTTTTTCTTTTCGAAATGAAAACGAACTAAATTTTTATTCGGAGAAGTCAAAAATAAAAATAAAAGCATTTGAAACGAAATGTTTCAATTATGGAACAAAATCAAGACGGGAAATTTACTTCATTTAAAACAGAAATATTTAAAAAAAACTTAATTTAAAAATACACGAAAATTTGCAATTAAGAGAAAATTATTTTTTCTCTTCTCAAAATGAAAATGAACTGAATTTCCATTCGTAAAAATGAACTAAGAAAAAATGATTTTTTTGTAAGTGAAAATTTTTATAGATTTCAAATGCGGAAAAAAATAAATAATTCTAAACGAATTTAAAAATGCATGAAAAATTGAAATTAAGAGAGAAAATTAATTGTCCACTTTTTCAAATAGAAAGAAATTAAATTTTTATTCGTAAAAAGTAAAATTAAATATAGAAAAAAAATTCTTGTTAAATTTTGAAAATTGTTTGCAAAGAACAAAAAGGTTTCAAGGTGCGGGAAAAAAAAATTAAAACTGGAAATTTTCCGCATTTAAAATAAAAATATTTTTGAAAAAAAATTCCAAATGAATTTAAAAATAATATACGAAAAATTGAAATTGAGAGAAAATTAATTTTTCACTTTTCCAAATGAAAAATAAATTAAATTTTTATTCGTCAAAAATCTTCTATAAAGAATTTTGTCAAAAAATTTGAGAATAATTGAATTTCTTCGAAGAATTTTATTATTAATGAAAATAATTGAATTCTTGCAGACGAATTTTATCGAAAAATTTAAAAATAATAGAATTTCTCCGAAGAATTTTATTATTTATGAAAATAATTGAATTCTTGACAAGAATTTTATTAAAATTATTGAAAATCCTAATTAAATTCTTTTGAAGAATTTCTTTCATTTTTTTCTTTAATTAAAGGAGTTTGTATAATAATTTTAACTCAAAATTTTGACACTAATTGAATTTTATAAACAATTTCTTTCAATTTTTTAAAATAATCGTGTTTCTTAACAATTTAAATTAAACAATTAAATTATTGAATTTTATAAAAATTTTTAGAAAACTATTAAATTCTTCTCAGAATTTTATTAAAATATAGAAAACAATAAAATTCTTTCGAAAAAAGATTGAATTGTTTCTAAGGATTTTTTATAATTTTAGAAAATAATTTAATTCTTTTCAAAAATTTTATAACAAATTTAGAAAAAAATTGAATTATTTCGTAAAATTTTATTGAAAAGTAATTAAATTTTTGCAAAGATTTTACTATATTTAAAAAAATAATTGAATTGTTTCGAAGAATTTTTAAAAATTTTAGAAAATAATTGAATTCTTTCGTGAAATTTTATTATAAATTAAAAAGAAATTTAATTCTTTGATAAAATATTTTTAAAATTTTATTAAAAGTAATTGAATTTTTGCAAAGAATTTTACTATTTATAAAAATAATTGAATTTTTTCGTAGGATTTTTAAAAATTTTAGAAAATAATTAAGTTCTTTCGAGAAATTTTGTTGAAGGTTTTAAAAAATTGAATTTTGGCAAAAATATTTACTATTTATAGAAATAATTGAATTCTTTCAAAGAATGTTATTATTTATGAAAAGCATTGAATTCTTGTGAAGAATTATATTTAAATTTTTGGAAATTTACTGTGAAACAAAAATATGTTTGTAAAAAAATTTCAACATAATTTAAAAATTCATAAAAAATAGAAATTAAGAGACAATTCTTTATTTCACTTCTCACAAAAGAACGATAAGGTTTCAAATACAGAAAGAGAATCAAGAAGGAAAATTTACTTTTCGCCTTTTTTTCTTTAATTTTTTTTTCGACTGTGACATAAATGGGAAAATTGTTTTTTTTTAAATGTAAACACAAGTTTGTTATCGGTTTTTGAACTGAAAGTCTAATCTATTCTCTTCTTTTATAAGCCAGTGTTGTAAGTTCTGGTTTCGATTTTCTCCCCTGTCATTATGAAATATTTCACATCCACTTCTCACAATGGATAAAATGACGCTGAATTATTATAAGTACTTGGTATTTCACTTCAAGCTCCTTATCCTTAAACGCCGATTCTATAAAACCCACAAAGGTTTCGTAGTCTTATAATGAAAGTTTTGATGTAGAAAAGAAAAATGTTGAGGAGAGAAAAAAATATTTCCTCCAAAGTGCAGCCATTTACAATGTTACAACATTATTTCACGACGAGGTGAATTGACGGTGTCGATTATCTTTGATTCTGGCCATAATATAATTCGATAGAAAATAAATTCCCCACCACATGCATATACATTCAATCGTTACCAATTTTCCGTTCGTTGATCCTTTAGCATTAGAAATCGACACTGGAAAAAATTTATTTATTTATTTATTTATATTTTAGACAAATTTATGTTATTTTCATTTTTTTTTAGTTATTTAAATGTTAGAATGCAGATATTCGAAAAAAATTAGCGAAGGTAATTAAAAATGTCCTGGAAAATTAGGAAATTCAAATTTAGAAACGAATATTTTATTTTTACCAGGATTTTTACTTTTAAACAAAAATTTTAAATACTTTAACTTTAAATTTTTTTTCTTTAAAAATTGAAGTAAAAAAAATCCGAGAAGTGAATTTCTCGTTTTGGTTTTTTGTTTATTTTTCGTATTTGAAACCTTTTCGTTTCTTGTAAAAAATTTGCGAAAATTTTACAAAAAAAAATTATTTCTATTTACTCTACGTTTACTTTTCTCGAATGAAAATTTAGTTAATTTTCATTTTAACTTTGTTTTTATTTTAATCTTATATTCCAATTAAAAATTGCATTTAAATATTTTAATTAAAAAATTTTGCTATGAATTAATAGTCATAGCAAAATTTTCTCTTTTCAACAATAATTTTCAAATTTTAACGTTTTTTTAATTTTATAT